TTCTTTTCTCTAGGTTCCCGCTCCAGATAGATTACTATGGCTTTCAGATAGACATTCTTTTCTCTAGGTTCCCGCTTCAGATAAATTACTATGGTTTTCAGACAGACATTCTTTACTCTAGGTTCCCGCTCCAGATATATTACTATGGTTTTCAGATAGACATTCTTTTCACTAGGTTCCCGCTCGTAAATAGATTACTATGGTTTTCAGACAGACATTCTTTGCTCTAGGTTCCCTCTCCAGATAGATTACTATGGTTTTCAGACAGACATTCTTTTCTCTAGGTTCCCGCTCCAGATAGATATTTCTATGGTTTCAGACAGACATTCTTTTCTCTAGGTTCCCGCTCGTAAATAGATAACTATGGTTTTCAGACAGACATTCTTTTCTCTACGTTCCCTCTCCAGATAGATTACTATGGTTTTCAGTCAGACATTCTTTTCTTTAGGTTCCCGCTTCAGATAGATTACTATGGTTTTCAGACAGACATTCTTTACTCTAGGTTCCCGCTCCAGATAGATTACTATGGCTTTAAGATATATATTCTTTTCTCTAGGTTCCCTCTCCAGATAGATTACTATGGCTTTCAGATAGAACTGGACACAGTGTACAACCTCCGAAGTCCTGTTGTCAACGCCGTCGTTCTCCGGGTGAACTACTTCGCCGGCCACAAGGTCAATCTCCTGGAGTTCGCAATGGACATAGATGGTGAGTTTGTCTAGATGATGGCTCTTACAAATAAGCTGCTGTTAGTTTTTTTAGGCTATATAAGGGAACCAGATTACGTCATTTATAAAACGTTTCAATTATGTTTGTTTTCACAATTTATACAACAAGTTATAGTTAATTCTTTAATTACACATTGTAGATGTGTCTTGTCAAAACTGCTCAAAAGTAAGGGAACGCTAAAGTTATAGAAAACCCATAATTTCATCAAATATGATATTTTGTTAATGAGAATAAATTTTTATCTTTGTTTTAGATTTCCACGTTATTTGGGATAGCCTCCAGCATTTTATTTTACTGAGACCTCATGCCATATTCGGGTTCCGACGGGACTATTCAGTGTTCGCTACGTTACAGAAAAATATAAAGGCAGCCATTTTGGAATTATTTGATAAGATAAATCTATCACAAGAGAACGTTCCTGATGGCACCATCCATTTGAAGGTATTGGGTAAGTAGAACTACTTGATGCTAAGTTTACCGTCCACACTTTCCTTCTCTTTACATGACCAGTTCTGTAAGATCCCCTATTTATCGATGCATACATGTCATTGAATTTGTTTCCTGTCTTTTTCCTCCTGTGATTTTATTCATATAATCTACCTTAACCTGACACTTGGTCCACGCTACATAGATAATACTTTATACATTAACACATTAATGGTATGTATATGTTCAAAGCATCAGTATATGTATATAGAGGGAGAGTATTTTAGTTGAGGTAGTTGAGGGTATATTTGAGATACCTTGATGATTACCTCTTAGTAATAAAGTTAATGTCTGATAAATATTATTTCGATGCATTAACACACATTAATACACGAGAGGGTCTCACACATATTCCATGATCTTCATGATATACAGTGCACACTTAAATGTCATAAATTTCACGATTACTGAAAAGTGGGTAGTTAATGTTTTGCCTTTTTGAATCTCTTTTGCATCAGCTGGTTTCCAATTTACAGCACAGTTTCTCCATAATAGTTGTTGAAGTACATAGATACTACGAAAGACTGATTTAACGAACAATGGATCAAGTTACTGTATCTTCTTTTAGGTCAAGAGATATTTTATCTAGAGGTTCGCGATTTGATGACTATATTTATGAACAACCCACAACATCCCATCTATAACTTTGATATGGGGAGACTGCAGGTGATACTGGAGCAGCTGCCATTGTATCGGACCAGGTATTACAGTAATTACATAGAGACATCCTGCAAACCGCGGTAAAATATTTTCTGTACCGCTATCATGATGTCTATAAATACATCTATTTACTGATACCATAATGTCTATCGTGATAAATATGCGTATACAGCTATCACGATGTCAGTACAAATAAATAATTGTATATACAGCTATCACGATATCCATATCATGTACAGGCATCGCAATGTGTATACAGCTATCACGCATTCCATACAGATATCTTGATGTTAATACAGCTATTACGCTATCTCTACAGGTAAATCACATTGCCTTTACACATATCTCATTGTCATTAAAGGTAAACCACTGTGTATATAGCTATCATTATATCTATACAGGTAAATAATTGTTTATACAGCTATCTCGATGTCTGTACAGATAAATCATTGCCTATACACTTTCACGCCATATATACAAGTAAATCATTGCCTATACAGCTAAATCGCTATCTTTACAGGTAAATCATTGGTTATACAGATATCACGATGTCAATAAACGTAAACCATCATCTCTCTACCTGTACGTCATTGTTTACACGGGTAACATATGTTATATTTCTGTTTAAGTTCTACGTCACTGGTGGACATTGTAAATATACTGCCCAGTGTTGGAGGATTTCCAATAAACATGACTGTCTCTGTAGCGATGAGTATGGGCCTGGAGTTTGATGCCAGACTGACTATGCCAGACATTATTGACTTAAACACAGATGTCCAGTTGGATGCATCCCTTAAAACTCAGTGTGTATTCCATAATTTTTGACATACTACTTTCTTTTCTTTTTTTATGAGTAATACACAAATGAATAACATTATTTCCAAGTTGAAAAGAACCTCACCAATCACGTTATAAAATGAGTGTATATTTGGGCGCGTACAATTTACCACATTGAATAAAGTGACTCAAGTTTATTGACCACTTCTTCGTATTATATCGGGTTGAAGAAATGCTACTTTTAATACAATATAGGTTTTTCTTTACATATTGTTGAGCTATATTGTGATCTTGCTTATCTCAAGAATCAAACACTTGTATACAAATAAAGTAGGCTAAATTGAGATATTACATTAATTCATTAATTGTATGATTTAATCAATTAATTTCTTTTCGTAATATTTAGATGTAACGTTCTTGAAGATCCTCTCAAAGCCTTTTAGTTCTTTTGATAGGATCATGAATTGCTTAAAATTAGCTGGATTGACTAGGACTACATGTTATATTGTTGTTTCGGTTTATATAGATGTAAGACATTTATGCTATAACTTTTATATCCTCCATAGTACTGCTGTGCATTTTAATGGGGAACTTGTAACGAGATTTGGGCAACACAGTCTTTCTGGTGCTAGAGGCAGTTCGGCAGGAATAATACAGATGTCGGTCTCTCCATCTTTACGCATTAACACTCAGCCTGAACAACCTAGGATTGTGGACTTCTCTTTGAGTCAAACCAACACGGACGCCAAATACACTATAGCAAATCTGAGGTAACTCTGAGAGAAACGTAACTCGTTTGCTATCAAATAATAAATGCTTAGTTTGTTTTGAACACAAACAGGAATTGAAAACATATTGCGAGTTTTCGAAAACGTCTGTTTCCTTTGTAAAGCAACGTGTGCCTTTGTCAAGCAAAGCGTTTCACACTCTTTGCTTGACAATGGACACAGACGTTTGCGAAAGCTCGCAAAATAAGTTTTCAATTCCTGTTTGTGTTCAAAACAAACTTAGCATTTACAATTCATACAAAATTCATGAATCCCATCCTGAAAGTTTGATATTATTTCGACAAACATAGCATGACGCAGTATGTCGTACAGAAAGTTTTATTTAGTAAGAGTTCTGTTTGACAGAGATATATTAAGTGTGCGATATGTCTGGTAGAGAAACAACGAAGCTCCCAATATATATGTGGCATACATATGGCGAATTGGAGTCTTTTGTCTGAGATTTAGGAAACTGATGCAGCTCTGTTAACAATATCTGAGGTTTCTTTGAGTTTTTTTCTGTGACAGAAATATAACAACTTGTTCATAGACATTTTTCTGTATAAGCTAGTCGTTTTACGGTTGTCGAACACAGATGTAGCAAGTCATCTGAGGTATGTCCGACAAAAACAGATTTGGTCTTAAGATGGCTGACAGAAGATACTTAATTGAGAGCTGTCTCAAAATATAAGCAGTTAAATTTTGTTGAATTTGCTGGCTTGTATTTGTGACAGTGGACATATGTACCTGACACATTCATCCGGGGAGGAGGAGATTGAAGGAGACCCGGAATTTCAGACCACGGTGCAGGATTGTGACAGAGGGCTGGTGTCTTTGATAACGGGAAACCAAGTGTGCTTCACCAGTGTGTATCCCAACACGACATCCTCGACGAGACACGCTTACTTCCCCTTATCCGGACCGTTTCACTACAGCCTGGATACACGTAAAGTTGAAACGTACAGCATATCATTTTCCTTAAAATCACTTTTTTTTCTATGTCGTAATGTAATGTCGGTAATAAGAATATATATTAAATTCAGTTTTACTGTTAAATAAAGGCTTATCTGCGAAGCTATTTGTAAAAAATAAAAATAAATATTGTTGATATTATCATTGTCTGGTGTTTAAACAGGGAAACTCTCCGTCTGTCCGTTGTGCGCATTCGAGGGGACAGTGAGCACATTTGGATCAACCTGACAAGAGAAGGTAGGCGCATGTTTGGGTCAGAGTGTACATATTGTTGTAAGAACAGGACTTCGTTCGAGGATATGCATCAGCAATGGTACACGAGGGTTTTGTGTTATCAGATGTTATTTACCGATTTATAAAACAGGCACTGCATAGAAAACATTTTAATTCCGCATTGTCAAAATTTCAAGGATTTTTTCATGGTTGGAGATTATCAAACTTGAAATTTCCCACAAACTTGAAAATTATCAGTACTAACGTACTCCCTACCGTATAGTTGAGGATTTTAACAAAGTGTGTGATTTCTCGAAAATCGAATTTTTTAATGAATTACCTTACGAGTGCTGAAGACCAACTTACAACGCAGAATTTCGAGATCTGCAGGTTGATAACTACTCTGGCAAGATTTGTGGTCGCCATGCCTTATTGATCTAATTTTATAATATTCTTCCCTTTGTGTGATATAAAAGCCGACGCTTTTTATTGTGTCTGTCTCGTTGTTTTGTTGCCATCTCCCCGGTTCTAGTCGTGAAGGAGAGGCAGGTTAAGATTTGACTTAGATTTCACCGGCAGTGGTCAATGAAGCAGAAGATATGCTAAACATTTCTGAAGTCATGTTCGTATTTTTCTTTCAGTGGTCTCCATGGAAATATTTCCTTTCCTTTTGCCATTGTTTCTTTTTTCAGTATTCCCTTACTGTTGTACGTTAAAAGGTAAATGTTGAATGTCTATATGAAAGAACGATTAAGGTCCATATTCTTTATGTATTATAAATAAGAAAAAAATATGAATTAGTAGATTATTTAAGAAATAGATATAGAATTAAAAAACTGGTATGTTAAACCCCGCATTTTATTGGTATTCCTAGCGTCTGTTCCCTTTCGAATTTTGTTGACTGATTTGATGACAAATTTTATACAAGGTCAGGGTCTATATATCGCGTTATTTCGCAGTTCGCGAATTTTGTGACAGTTTAACTTTTCCACGAAAGTTAATTAAGCAATTCAAAATTTGTACATCATTTATTTTTGTCAGCTAAGTATATCAGCGTTATTTTAGGCAAGTTAATGCATGAAGATTGTTTTTGAAATGAACATATAAATCACATGTGTGTTAGGTATGTTTAATTATTTACATTTTAGTTAAGAAATTTGCATATACAACATTTCTATTAGGTATACATGTATAACATTTCTATAAGGTATAAATGTATAACATTTCTATTAGGTATACATGTGTAACATTTCTATTAGCTATACATGTATAACATTTTTATTAAATATACATGTATAACAATTCTATAAGCTATACAAGTATAACATCTGTAGATATGTTCATGTAAATTACAATTATGTTAGAAGTGCTCATGTAGATATAACATATTTGTTCATGCATAAGTTTTGTTTTATGTGTGTCCTTTGAGATAACATTTGATTGCAGGAAACAATTTCTCCACTATTAAATAATGTTTTTCTATTCGAATTGATAACACCGAAGATCTGTTGTCTTTCAAAGAGGCTGTTTTGAACAACAGCAAAAACAGTGTAAAATATATTAAAAGGGATTTAATGGAATTATCTTTCCTAATTTTAATGACATGTCTGTCTTTGTTGTTTAAGGGCAGGAGAACACTATTGGCCTGAACCTGCACTCCTACAGTAAAAAAAAGCGTTTGAGTCTGTTAGAACTGATGATACCCGATGCCCAGATACACTTGTATGCTAATTATGACTATACATATTCCTACGGCGTGATTTCTACAAGATACAGCGTTGACGACGTACATCTGACTGTTGCTGGCAAAACTTTGAACAGATTCCTTGTAAAGGTTTGTCAAGATAACCCTATTAATAAATTATGCTTTTATTCAAAATAAGTAGAAACAACTATCTTTAATGGTTTATAATTAATGACATACTAATTAAGTCACTTATCTTTTTAGAAACGAACTGAAAATAGGGAGGGGACGAGGTCTGTAAGAACAGAGCGAGACATAGAGGAAGTAATCCTGGCTATTCCCGGTGCGAGTCTGGCTGTGACGGTAAATAGCTTCAGAAACAAGTTCAGGGGACACTACAACACAGTCGTTAATATGACATATTATTGGTGAGTATAGTGCCACAATCCCTACTAATATTACATTTCATTGGTGAGTATAGTGCCAGAATCCCTACTAATATCACATATTATTGGTGAGAATAATGTCACAATCCCTAATATGACATATCATTGGTGAGTATAATATCACAATCCCGAAAATTACATAACATTGGTGAGTATAATGTCACAATCCCTAATATGACATATCATTGGTGATTATAACGTGATTATCCCTAATATGACATGTTGACATTATTGTTACAGTGTTAAAGCTCGTCCCCTGTTGTATCTCCTTCACTGGAATCCTACTCTAGCCGGGCAGAATGGAGACGTGACCGTCGGTGAGTTGGTTGATGATGCGATTATCGGATACAACAGAGATTACAGTATATGGACAGTCAAAGACTACATGCAGCTCAAACTTCCAGGTATTGCTTTCCTTACAGGCTTAAGTAGTTTATGGAAGTCTTAATATGATTGACAAAGCTACCACAGTTTTGACGCGAGAGAAACAATAGACATTTATTTATCAAACATTTTTGTCTGCAGGTCTGAAGATCAGTCTGGATAATAAAATGGAAGCAAATAAGACCCATGCAAATCGCCACACAGTTATCGTTTACACAGGGATCAACGGTCAGGAGGTATAATATTCTCAAGTAACTTTGACAAAGGGGCCATAGAAAACGATAAATTTGATAGATTTATATATGTACTAAGGTGCAGGTCATACTTTTCTCGTACCACTGGGTCATAAATAGCCACGATGGACTCAGGCATTGGCCACGTCAAACGCTATTGAATTTTCCATTTATAGTGCTTGAATAGAGAGGCATTGTCTTGCTGATTAAAAGCCGCTTAGGATTTTCCCATAACAGACATGTCCTCTTAACTTAAACAGCATTGAGATGTTTCTTCAATTTACCGAAAATTAACGCTCACAACTCAGAAAAGACATTTATTTCAATGTTAATCGTTGTTACCCGTACACATTTGGAGCTGTTCGTATCAGTACGACTTGTGTAACAAACATACAAAATGTTACATTTAAACACTTATATTACTTGCAAATTAGTGAAATGCTTGAAGGTGGCCAAACTGCCTACTTTAAGCAAAACCATAGAAGGCTTGATGACGTCACAAATGTTGCTGCGTGACGTCATTCAGGCGTGCTTACACCAATGTTTATAGGTATTTCAGCCAAATGTTCTGTACTGGTGCTCGTGGGCATTTTGATACATGTGTATCTGGACAAATTATTAACTACAACTCTTACTAATGTGACGAATTTGCCTGCACTAACGTTACCTACAGTATGAATTGCCAACGCGGGTTCAGTGAGTTCCTTATTGAATGAACTACTATTTGGCTTCGTACCATGTTAGAAAACCTCATACCAAGTGGTTCGTAAACAATACTCTTACGGTAGGACATTTCTCCGCAATTCGTGCTACAGAGAGGGTACCCAAGCACAAATCTACTCGAGAGCGGAGCGCCGTGATTATGGTCCACAGAGGGTTTTACGTTGGGCCTGTCAGCATTACGTGTCGCACAGGTCGTCTCTAACAATGACAACGCCCAACATGATGTATTTAATTACGACACAGTTCTACAGAACAATACCACAATGTTCGAAATAGTCATGTAAGTGGCAAAACTTCACACATGATCAAAAGCTTGTATTCCTTGACAGGCGCGCATGAATACATTTATGATTATATAATGAGGATGATGAACCACAAACGTAAAATCAGAAATCCATTTACAGCACAAACTAAAGTTAACAATATTTTTATATAATATCCAACAACTTGAATATATCAGCTATTATTTCTTATAATAAGTACAAAATAATTCAATTAAAAAGCCAACAGTGCAGTACTATTTCCAACGACGACGCCATTTAACAGACGTCATGACGGCATAACGCGTGTAAGCTGTCTTTGCTGAGGGGAATTTTCACCGGTGAATTCCTGTCTTCCACGGGCAAGTATTGGAGAAAACAGTAACTTGTTAGATTGCTCAATCCTGTTTTTATGTAGAAATGCAGCAATTAGGCGTCTTGCTACTTTATGCATAATTATCATTTCTATTTTTGATGCATCTGTATTAAAAAGGTTTAATCTGAGTTAATTGTACTTCAAGTTAATACGTTTTTGTTATTTATCTATACTTTCTTATATTCGCAGTACACAGTGACAATGAATGCCCACGTGATAAACGCCACTAACGCCACCTACAATACCTATGACTACTACATGATGCTTTCCCACAGTGGAATGCCCTTCGATCTGTCTCTCCGAGGTCATCTGAAAGGCATTAGTGATAACCTTAACCTAGTGACAGACATACAACCAGTTTCAAAGTCAGTGCAGGTAATATACATGAAACTACCTAGCTAAGAAATAGAAAAACCTGGACCTTCGTTTGACGCTAAATAAACAGAAAAGTCCTTTGCGGGATTTTTCCGAAATTTAGACAAGTTAATCCTTTTTAAAACTAGCGCCATGAATCCTTAACAAATTGTATAGAACATAAGATTTGTGTCATTATTTGAAATCATATTCACGAAAGGCTTTTAAATATCTAAGTTGTACACAATAATTTCTTTTGCTATAATACCACCGTATACAATCATTGCATTCTGTACATGTGGTTTATATTGTTTTCAATTACTGTTGTTGACACCTAAAATATTTTATGATAAGATGTTTGTTTAAATTACTTAAAGTTGTGTGTTTTATGATTTAAGATTGTAGTGTAAAAATATAAAGTTTATTTAGTTACCTCAATCTATCATCTTACATTATTGCACTGAATGTGTGTTTATATTAACATATTCTGTAATATGAGTATTGACCTGCTATCGTTTATTATTACTTCCCTTAACATACAGGTTTCGTTTAGTCCAGTTGCTCCTATTTAAGTTAGTTTACTACTGCGTGTATATTTGTTCTTGACAGGTACCTTCTCCAGTCGGGGATGGGAACGAAGAGAGTCCAGAGCAGAAACCGTGTGTGGAGGCACTGGGGAGGACATTGGTGACGTTTAATGTTGAAAACGTAGCAGTGACCGATGGGATTGAGATGAGGTGGGACTACAACTATAGCAGACAAGTGTGTGGGGGACAGGACCAATACCTTATATCTGGATTGTACGGACGTCAGGCTGTAAACTCTCGCTGGAAATTTCAGTAAGTATAGTTTAGTAACTTGACGACAAAAGCGGGTATTTCAGATAGCCTTCAAATATGTCAACGTTTTAAGTGACTTTTGCAAAAAACTTCCACTAAACTACCAGTTAGTCGGTGAACATACTCAGACATAACCTCAAATGTTTTGAAAAAAACATAATATCATCAGGTTGGCGCAGATGAGTTTTACTTGCTCTACTTATATCCCATATTGACTGATACAGATATGAGAAATAGTGTGGTTTAATCTATTGATTTTTGTATCTAGCTACTGGGCGACTGCAGACGTGACTGCCACTAAGTCGCGTGATGCTGTTGGTCAGCAGGAGGCAGTGGTCATGTCCAAGTCACACAGAGGCAACTTCCATGCTCACATGAGACACTTCCCGGTTCATTTTTTGCTGGACTATAGCAGTCAGTTAGTGAACACTTCTTATATCCTGCGTGTCACTGAAAACCCTAGAAGCAACATAACCGTCCTTCTGCAAAGCCAGTTGCAGACACCGTGGCCAGTGGTCAATTTCAACATTAAACGTGAGTTGCTGTTAAAATACCACAATAAACATTAACATCACATGTGAAACACGGCTTCTCTAAGGATTTGTTTACAATGTTATAACACCCGATGAAATAAAGTTTGCTTAGGTGTCTTAAAAAACACATGAAATGAGTAAATGTGCTTGCTTTTTTACAGACACTTACGTTTGGACGGGCCATCTGATGCACACAACGGAAGTGACGTCTGCATGGCTGGATGTCGACACAGTAATCCACTATAACATCTCGTGGTTTGACGTCCTCAGTGCAGAAATGCACAGCTACCTGAACTCGCGGGTAAGTGTCTTTTGAATTTGCCTTCAGTATTTTTTTATTGCATAAGTTTGCGAAGGAATTTGATGGCAACTTTCTTAATATCACGAAATCTTTATATTTCGCCGTAGCATGCTGGCGTATTACGACAATTTAAACCAGAGAAATAAAAACGAAATGCACACGAAAAATCCATGATACACTTTAAATCGACTTATATGGTTCACACTGATCAATTACACTTATCATTGCCATCGTCATAATGGGGAGAACGACAATTAAATGTGTCCAATTCTAATTGTTAAAAATAAACCGAGTCAAAGGACTGACTAAAAGAAATAAGTATAAGTACATTATGAACGTACTGAAAGGTGACATGAAAGATTGCTACCCTTTATTTTTTATCACGATATTTTTTTCGTGACAACCTCATTTGTCACCTCAAGTTGTACGTACGTTCCTTAAATAATAAATTGCTTACAGGTGCCATTAAATGCATAAAGAACAGTCCCCAGTGCATAATAGTAAAATGACGAGAAATGCGTTATTAGTTATATTATCATATTTCTCAGTAACGCCGTGGATATTTATATTGCCTGTGAGCCGCATCAAAAGGCAGTTGTATACAATGTACTTGTATTTTCCTGTTTTCATGTTTACGCAGTTATTGAATTACAACAAACCAAAGTATATGATATTAAACATACGAGAATATATATAATCCTTAAAATGCGGCAAAAACCCATAGCACGTGCTTTTTCCTGTGATAGGAATTTTCAATGCAAAACAACAACCATTAAAACATATTTTCATCAGCTTCCACTAGTTTTCATTTTTTGGTATTTTAATAATAATAATTTGAGGTTCTAATATACCGCTTTATCACAACCTAGTTCGTAGGTAGTCTCAAAGCGGTTCACAAAGTAATACAATCATAAAAATGCATTTAAAGCATAGTAACAGCATGATTAAATTACGTCACATGGCCTTTAATTTGAAAAAAGAAATCTGATTTCAACGATTTTACTTGGCATTATATCATCTTGTTTTCTCTTTTTATAGCTGCCATGGTTACCAGGAAGAACAAATGTAACCGGTCGATATGAAAAGACAGATGGCATTTTGCCTCAACTATTGTTGGTTTTAGAGAGATCAGACGGCATAATAGAACTAAAGGCTGACATGGTCAACACAACTTTCAACATTATCACTTTAACATTCCGAAAGGTAGCGAATAGTTTGACAACATATGCATATACTGAATATATAAAGACTCAAAATTCAGATATTGTTCGATTTCTCTCAAATTTAGTTGGTAGGTGTATTTTAGCACTGTAAACTCTACTGCGGTATCCGTTTTCTGATTCGACAAAATGGCTGCCATATACTGACTTCTGGTTGGTCTAAACTTAGATATTGTTTGATATTACTCATTTGGTATGTAGGTGAATTTGGAATTGTGACCTCAACTATGGCATCCATTTTCTTATTCGACAAAATGGCTGCCGTATACTGGCTTCTGATTGGTCGAAATTTAGATATTCTACGATTTCACTCATATTTGGTATGTAGCTGTATTGTGCCGACCCTGATTTGCGTAAGTATTGATAAGAAGTATCTGTGGTTATTCACATTCTTTTTTAAAATATGGTTGATTTTTAGGTCACCCGAGACAAAGCCTTTTGTCCGGCTTCGACCGTCGTCCGTCGTGCGTCCTTAAACAATTAACATTTTCGACTTCTTCTCCAAAACCCCTCAATCCATTTAAATGAAATTTTGCAGAAACCTTCCATAGCCAAAGATCAACTAAAATTGTGAATTATATGGTCCCTAGCCCCCAGGAGTCCGAGGGGCGTGGTCAAAAAGGGTCAAATTGACTAAAATTTCAAAAAACTTCTACTCAAGATCCAGGTATGATATAATCGAATTCTCTTCATAGATAGAAGGGTCTTAAGACGCTTTAACAAAAATTGTGAATTTCATGACCCTGGGGTCTCAAGATTCCCACTTGGGAGGGGATAAACTTTACTATAGTTTAATTGTGAATTATATGGTCCCCAGCCTCCTTGGGCCTGAGGGGCGGGCCCAAAAAGGGTCAAATTGACTAAAATTTCAGAAATCTTTTTCTCAAGATCCAGATATGGTAGAATCAAATACTCTTCATAGATGGAAGGGTCTTAAGGCGCTTTACCATAATTCAGCTACTGACAGAACCACTCTTTGTACATAGTACATATACTACCCAGATCTTTCACAATAATTTTGCATTACATGTAGTTCAAGTTACCTTTGTTACAAAATGATTTCTTTTTCATTTGGCAACATCGATAACATCAGATTTTACATAACTCAGGTGACCGTTAAGGCCCATGGGTCTCTTGTTGTTTGATGAGGTGTTTGGGGGACATCTGTAATGACCTCCATTACAATTACCACTTGTTGTATAATTACTTGTTCATGAAATGAACCCAGAATGTTACTTGTTTTCTTTAATGCTAACGGTAACTTTTAACCTACAAATTCAGCCATAATGAAATTTCTTCATTGACGACAATTCTCTTGTAATTACATGATGTCATTCAATCATGGATGTGTAATATTGTATGCCATATCTGTGCACGTCTTTCAACATCAAAATAGTGAATTGTCAGTCAATATAAAACATTGTTTATCCTTTCTGACTGCATGAGTTCTCAACCACTACATAATTTGTTGTCAGTCAATGCATAACATTGTATGTCCTTTCTGACTCCGTCAGCCCTCAACATAAAAATAGTGTATTGTCAATGTAAAACATTATACGTCATTTCTGACCGCATCAGATCTCAACCAGTACATATACTGTTGTCAGTCAATGTATAACATTGTATGTCCTTTCTGACTCCGTCATCTCTCAACATCAAAATAGTTTGTTATCAGTCAATGTATAACATTGTATGTTCCAATATGACGTCAGCTCTTACATTCTTCATAGCATGATTTCAATCAATAGATATACGTATGTGCGTCTACTGTTAGAATCAGTTTTCAAACTAGTCAAAGATTTTTTAATAAGTTGGAGCAAAACAGTTTTTCCCTATTGTCAACGTTAGCGCTCAATTTTCATGGAGTGATGTAGTCAGTAAATATTTTAGTATTACAGCTCTCAACCAATTTATGTTTATAAAACATGCAGTCAATATACAATACTGTTATTTCCTATTGTTAGCCCACCAACATCAGATGGTGAACTGTCCGTCCTTAAATAATTCTTGTAAGTGCTTTTTCTCAGAAAGTATTAGAGGGATTTTTCTCAAATAGCACATCTAGAGGTTTTGCCACCAGACACTCATCTTGAAATTTTACAATTTCATTGTCACTATTTCTCAAGAAATACGGAGCAGATCTTTCTCAAATTTCAAATTCAGGTTATCCTTGTTATAAAATACATGCTGTGCGATTAACTTGATCCAACAACAAACATCTGTGATGAAAAATAACTCGAGCGTCGTTAAAACCCCCTTTACACATGATGGCGTCTTTTTGGCCTCCCTCAGCGACCATAACATTGGTCATGTCGCCGTTGTCGGCTAAGAGGAGGCCGAATGGAACAGTTACTTAAAAACATGATTTTCTGAGTTAAGGCGTCCTGGCCATTTTTTGGTCGCTCATAGGTGGAACAAAGGTTGAACTCCTGTGTACAGGGGACTTTACTGCTTACATTACTCAATCAAATAGATAAAAGGATAGAAGACAAAATATCCCCCTTGCATAGAACCTATGAAGATGAAGCCAGGCTCTTTCTGGGTTATTTTATTTTTTCTTGCAATCTTTGGAAAGCAAAAGCAAAATAATAAAAAAAAATATGCAAACACATTATATATGAGAGATCATTTATTTTCTGGGATGGATATTTTCTTTTGATGTTTTAGTCAGGCGAGGAGGCCATGCATTTACTGACGTGGCAAATGGCACTGAGTAGCATGCGTGCCATTACGCACACATTGAGTTGGAATCCCGATCTGGTCCAAGTCGTCAGGAAAGACAGTTTCGGCCGGCTTAGTTGGTTGCAGTTGGCTCTCGTAGATGTGGGGGAGGTCGCCCTGGCTAACGCAAATAAACCTGCCTTGCTTATGTTGATTCCCTTCACGGACATGGTATGAAAAACTGCAATTTGAAGCCTTTTCTGACCTATCAGTTTCATTTTAATGACAAATTGTTTTTGGTGGTATCCTACGTGAAGAACCATTTTACATCTATGGTCCTTTTTATTGTAACCTGTAACCTTTTGTTCTGTTGGTAAGATTTTGTTCAAACTTGATAGTAAAAACTATTGGAGAATTTTCGATATGGTGATTAACGACATATTCATTTCATGGCATCATCAAAAATTGCCGCTATTTTTTTCTTTTTTTACTTCTATTCTATAGGTCTATTTTTGTTTATACTTGGTGGTAAATTATACATGTCGTATTACATTCTTATGTAATGCCTTAATACCCGTATTCTGGAAAACTGGTTTCTTTTTGGCGTCATTTGGGGTCACATACAGTAAGGTACACGGCGAGGCCCTCGTTGTCAGTGTTCTAGTTCTCGAGAAATTATATTAAGGAGAATAAAAACTGATCTTAACACATTTTTATAACCTCTTTTTCAGACACATTGTATGAAGGAGAATAAAAACTGATCTTAATAAAGTTTTATAAACTCTTTTTCAGACACTAGGTGTTTTCCTAGAAACCTATTTATATCCATGCTTGCGATTTCCTGTGACCAACAGTGGTCCTGGATCCTCAAGTATCGGGGAAAACTCTCAAAGCACGCAAGAGGCGACGGAAATAGAAGTGGCTGGTGATTCGGAAACAACTCCTCCACATAAAACTAATTTTGGTATTGCTGCTCATTTACATTGTTCTTCATTAACTCGACATTAATTTCAGTTAGGTTCGGCGTATTGTCTTCTCATAAACGTCGTTAAGTATGCCGTATGGGGATAGTTTTCCCCTAGAAGTTTATGAACTATCATTTCATTTATATATTGAATAAAATATTCAGAGCAATGCTGATATTCCTTCGGAATGGTGATAAAATAGGCCGAATTCAACATTCCACGATTTCTTGATTTTCTTTTTGTTGTGTTGTACAATCTAGTGGTGGAGATGAATGATCTATGCTATAAACTTCGATTTTAGAGGTAGCCAGTGTCCTGACAAATCAAACCGTAAATCGTCTGTTGTTTCAGGAGACTTGCTTGCAAAATCATTAGCTAGAACCGTGGGGTCGAGCCTTACAGTCTTTGTTGGGATCAGTACCCGCCCCCCATGGATTGTGAGGCGTCTTATGGACATCCTGATACGCCCTGCAGTAGAGAAGTTATTGGCTGAATCTCGTATCTCCTTCACAGCTCCTCTCCTTGGCCAATGGCATTCATTTGTAGTGAGTATATATTTGAAGAGTAAAAATATATACGATATAAGATGTGATGGGAAGTATTTTTAAAGGATATACAATGTATTTAAATAAAAGGAACATTTTTGATAAGTATATGAACGTTTATACTCTTGATGGCTTTATACCCATATGAAGGGAAACATTATCAAAGAGTAAAGATATGAAGGGAAACATTCTTAGTTAATTTAGATATGAAGGGACATATTCTTAGATGGTCCTATAGATCACAAGCAATTCTCATTATATTGTTTTAGTGTTATTATTGTAAGTGAATATAGATATGATGGAACATGTTTTAGTTGGTATTGATATGGTTATGTACATGCTTTCAAACTTAATGACAGAAAATATTAAACATTTTTACTTTGAAAAGTTAATAATGAACAACACATATATATGGCATCAACAGTTACAGCACCGTGCCAAAATATGTCCTCACTAAAATCCAACATGGCCGATGCAAGAAATGTGAACACAATAAACAAACGATTTTACTTACATTTTACCGCCCAAATATACTTAATACTGGGTTATATTTCCCTTTCTGATGATTACTACCTTGCATCGGCTCGGTAAACTGTCAGTTTTCTTATTTAAGACAAAGCACGTTTCCAAGAAACTGCAAAGTTTACTAACTTTATAGGTATGCTCTCGTCCGTCCGTCCTTCCCTCCGTCCTTCCGTCCTTCCGTCTGGTGAAGGACCCGTCCGTCCGTCCGTCCTGACGTCCGAGAGGTTTGTCCGGGACATATCTTCTATACTATTTCATCTGAAGTATCCATATTTGGTGTACAAGGCCATCCTTGGATGGCGGAGTGCAGAGTGGAAGAATTAGGTCACTGTGATCTATGGATTGACCTTTGACCTTCAATGTTTAAAAAAGTTTGTCCGGGGCATATCTTCTAATCTATTTCACCTGGAGTAACCAGATTTGGTGTAGAAAGACATCTTGGGATGGCGGAGTGCAAATTGCAAGAAAACGGTCACTTTGACCTCACTGTGACATATGCTTTGACGTTTGACCTTAACTTTTGAAAAACCTTTGTCCGGGGTATATTATTCATACTATTCCACCTGGAGTAATCAGATTTCGTGTACAAGGATATCTGGGTATAGCAGAGTACTGAGTGCAATAATTAGGTCACAGCTACCTATGACTTGACCATTGACCTTCACTTTTGAAAAGATTTGTCCGGGGCATATCTTCTACACTTTTCACCTGGAGTAACCATATTTTGTGTACAAGGCCATCCTGGGATGGCGGTGTGCAGGGTGGAAGAATTAGGTCACTGTGATCTATGGATTGACCTTCACTTTTTCAAATTTTGTCCGGGTCAAATATTCTATTCAATTTCACATGGAGTGACCATATTTGGTGTACAATGAGTGTTTGGGGTTACGGAGTGCAGAGTGCAAGAATTTGATCACTGTGAGCTATGCCTTTACCTTTGACCTTCAATGTTTAAAAAAGTTTGTCCGGGACATATCTTGTAATCTATTTCACCTGGAGTAACCAGATTTGGTGTAGTGCAATGAAGTAGGTCACTATGACTTCACTTTGACCTATGTTTCCTGGCATAAGTGTACTGTTCATTAAATAAAGAAATCATTACCGGTGAAGGACTATGGATTTCCTTGTAATACTTTGCCTTGTTTCTATTCACTTCACTTATTCTGATCCTTTTTCGTACCTTGCATCTTTTAAATCCCAAGTCATATACACTCCTCTGAATTATTCTACGGGACTCTTTCGGAGGATGCATATCTATTGAATTCAGTTGTAATATCGTCAAAATGTGAGCGTCTTTTCTGTTTAACTTACATTTTAAGTGTTCGCTTTGTTACAATCTGGCAAACTTTTGATTCATTTTGCTTCAAACTTACGATGTTCTTCTGGACGCCAGATGGAAATGCTTTGCCCTTTTCGCCCCGTTACTACAGACGGCGCGGATTCGTTTTTACCGGAAGCAGACGGCAATAAGCTTCCGGTTTACAAAGACATTATTGCACGAAGCGCGGTCGATGCGAAGGGGAAATCTTGCGAGTCGATTAAGAACCCATTCAATTTCAAGTCGAGATAAACTATTGCACCACCACTTTGTTTGGGGATATATTTTTGACACGGTGCTGTATATGTATGCTGTTGCAATGAAATAGTAAACCAAGCCACAGACACACGCCTCAAAACACCGAGTATGTATACTCAGTATATTAGTGATACAGCAAAACAACGTGAAAGTAATGGAACTTATAATTGTATCTGCAGATTACCAAACGACAATGCCAAAAAGCTGCGTTTTTGAATGGAATTGATCAGGGGATTAGTGTAATACTCTCTATATATCTGTTGCGGTGAGTAGTGTCACTGTTATTTCTTGTAGTCACCACCAAGACAGACCTATGGATTTCGCTACCTTGAGGGAGTATATGGTCGCTTAACCAAGGGAATCCACAATAACATCGGAACCTTCCGTGGCTTCGTCATCAACAGACAGTACTTGGTCACATACAATGATCGAGTATACCACATACCAGGTAATTAAAAAATAACCAGGATGATTTTTTGGCTATATAGTTTATACCGGAACAAACTGTGTGATCTTTTGTGCATAAACAGCTTTGCGGATTTATGCAAACTGCACATAGTGTTTTCGGTATATACCGCATAGCCCAAACAATGATTCTGGTTATCCCCTTATAATTTAATATAAACAGCAAGACAACATTCATTCATTTTTGATAACAACATAAAAACAAAACATGTTTGCACAAAACACAACATAGCGCAATAATTTCACCGCAAAGCAACTTCAACCAGTCAAAAGTTGAAATTACAAATACCGCGCCAAACATTGCGGAACGACGTTATCACTACTTGTTTTGTGTTGTCTGCTATTTAGGTTATACGATGCAGCCTGACAAGTCTAACAATGGGGAAATAGCCAAAATTATATTATACACTTATAATCCTTTAGCTGATCACATTAAATAATTTCATACTAGCCTACTGATAAAGAAGCAATAGTCATTTATAGTTATAACAAAGATTGAAAGCAAAGCATTTTTTTATTTCATATCTGGCTGTATAGTGCACACTCTCCGACAGGGCTTTTGACGGAATATGTCAACTGTACATTCTATAAATGTTCTGAAATGTACAGATAATCGAAACGTAAACGGTTGGCATAAAATTTGGTTGTACTCATTAATAGTCTATACTGACTGTTAAAACTGGGAAAGTGTACGTTTCAAAAATAAATCACACCTTGAAATCATGAATGGAATGTTCGTTACATAGATGACCAGGCCGCCGATTGTGTCCACTTGCTGGCCGGAGACTTTAAGCGCGAGAAGTTTGCGGTACTGCTATCACGCCAGGGCATCACCGTGGCCACCAGCGAAATGTCGGTGACGTTGGAGTATGGTGGAAACGTCTTCCGCGACAACTGTCCTCGTCCCGTGTGAGTGAACTTAGTAGTTCCCATATACAAAAAGTGATATCAATACCTCAAATAAATCCCAGTATGAAAGCTTATGCAAAGTGTTCTTTAGAACATTGTTATATGTTTTGTATCAGTGTCATCAGCAATGAAAAAGATACCTTGGACAAAATGCATCGTTTAGTATATAAAATCTACCTTTGTATCTTACATTCGAGCAGCATATCTACTTAAATCACATGTTTTTAAGGAGAAATTGACGTAGCTATAATGTATGCACTTTTTAAAACATTAATATTGTAGCTAATGTAAATTTGTGTTTAGATGGTTGCCGTTTGGACGTAAATGGAAACGCATTCACGTGTTTATGGAACGTGACGATGTGATTCTGAATACAACATATGGCGTGCAGATCTCGTGCTATTACCGACGCGACGTGTGCCGTATCGATCTGATGGAAAACCATTTTTCTAACTCTTGGGGGTTATTGGGCACAAACGACGGAGAACCCGGGTCGGACTTTCAGCTTCCCAGTAAATATATCACCTCTGTTGTCAACACCTTCATCCAGAGCTACGCTGTCGGCGGTCCGCCTCGGTGCATTTCTCCAGAGTCCAAGCATCACGCAAGGGTAGACGAATCACTATATCCTCATCCTCCGGCCAACGCACAGACACTATGTAGTGCAGAAATGGCTGATGAATGCAATAGACAGTTTAAGAGGGCAATACAGTCTACATGTCATTCTACCATATCACACCGGCAGTTCTTGGTAAGTTTAGCTCTAGTTCCGTGTAGCATTTTTCTATTTAATTCGTGAAAAAGAAAATAAATGGGACTATAAGAAAAATGAAAACAAAAAACAAAACAAAAACGAATAACAAAAGTAACTTTCAGAAGAGATAGCTATTTCTGTAACTATATATAAATAAAATCGATCTGGAATGACACAATTTGCATCAATAAAATAAGAATAACTTTATCGTTGTTAACATAATTGCTGTGATTGTCTTTACCAGGAGAACTGTCTGTCCGAAGCCAGAAGCTGCGGTCTTGTTGCATTTGACGCTTGCAAACACATCCGTGCATACGAATATGTCTGCCATTTGAGATTCAATTATGACTCAATAGCTGGTAACATTTATGTAAAATTAATATATAAGTCTAAGAAATAATATTTGGTAAAGCTTCTTTAAAAGATAAATATGTATTATGTAAATTATTACATATACTTAAGTGGTGATAGTATATGAATATTATTGTGGCCAAGTTTATTGATGAGATTTCGTATGTATATTTATAGAAGACTGTTCATTCTTAAATACTTAACAGTATGTTTGTCATACGATATCTGGTAAATTTTACAAACTGAACGTTTGTTTTGATAAGAGATGGATAATTGCAGACACGATTCTGCTAAAGAAAGATGGAACAAGGTGCAACTTTTATATTTCAGTTAACTGTATCAAAGACACTAAACGAGAAAACGATGAGGGCAGTCGGCGGCCAGTAGATGTCGTGTTGGTCGTATCTGATGTTTTGGAGTCCTTACGAACTGACATTGAGGCCCATGTGGAGACTTTACTGAACATTGTAAAGTATAATATACGTAACGTACAATTGGGAATTATCGGGTACGGAGGAGATACACAAATGTTTGATGCACTAGACCCGACGGTCTCCACAAGGTAAGTATGACAAAACAAGGCAGATATATCCTGCATATTAAAGGATTGAATCCTGTTTTGTTGAGGTTTATGGGGTATAAACCTCAATGGGTCTTGAGACAAATATTATGAACTGCGGGTTTATACCCTATAAATCTCAAAAAACGAGATGCTATCCTTATATTCACATTCAGTGTAATATTTATATGCTTTGATCATTTCTAAATTATCGGTCTTGTGCAAGTCTAACTCCACGGAACGTATCGAAGTTAATGACGTCATCGCTCACTGTGAGACATCATTCTGGTAAGATGAATAACTTGTATGCATTGATTACAACGGAAAAACATATTAAGGTGTAAATTAGTTTTTTAATCCAATTGAAAACTTCTGACAAAAAAACCCTAACAAACAGAAAACAATTTATTAATATAATTACTTCCCGTGCTCCGCAGAATAACAAAGTAACCAGGTTGATAATATGTTGATGTATTCATACGCCAACTGGAAAGTTCAATGAAAAATAACCTCTAAAATGTTTAATAGATTTCCCGAACGAGGTTGATTTGTCTATATCTCTGTCTACAATGTATGATAATCAACTTCACTCCTATAGGATAGTTTTTCGATGCCTTTATCCACTACAAGACAGATATGCTGCTCTCAAACGAAGTAGGCCTTAAATTACTCCAAACCGATTAGAGGGATTTGTTGTCGCCTTAGCCTTCGCTATCATTGCAATGCTGATGACAAACAAATTTACATGGTCATCACACCACAGGACAGCTGGGATACAATTTCAGATAATCTGGAAGCTTGCCTGACAGATATCAGTACCTGGATGAACGCCAACATGCTAAAGCTTAATCAGGAACAGACGGAACTAATCGTCTTTTCCCCAAAGTGTCAGCAAACAATGGCTCTCCAGCTCAAGGTCGGTGCCAGAACTATTGAGATTGTCGCAGCTTGGATTATGGAAACGCCCTGCTCTGTGGTATATCTGACAAACTAACTAGTCGTCTGCAAAGGGTCCAGAACACTACAGCACGGCTGGTTACTCGTACTCGAAAGAGAGAGCACATCACATCTGTGATATCTTCATTGCACTGGTTACCTGTACGATACAGGTCGCAGTACACAATTTTGGTGTACACTTACAAGGCACTGAATGGAAAAGTTCCCCAGTACCTACATGAGCATGTTACCCTATATCAGCCGTCACGATCACTGCGGTCGGAGTTAGAATCATTGTTGTGTGTCCCAAAATCTCGTACTGTGCTTTTGGAGGGTTTCGGCCACGTTGTGGAATAGCCACCCATCTGCTATTAGAAAGTCAAATACCCTGGACAAATTTAAGAGGGATATCAAAACGCACCTCTCCACGTCTGCATTTTAGGCTCTTTGCAAAGACGTCATGAAAATTCCACCCTTTGTTTGTTAATTTATGTGCATATTCACTGCCTTCTTTTTATAAGTGGATTTGTCATTGTCTCCTACATGGTAGATATGTGCAATTCAAATCTCCGTTATGAAGGTCTGTCAAGGTCTTTCCTCAACTTAAACAGATTTTTTCACCACACAAAGAAGAATATATGGTTCACAAAGTTGTTTAATGTGCGTTATCCTCCATTGATTTACTCAGATATTTTCTGCCATGATAAAATACCTTATCACTATGTTAAAAAAACACGCTTGTCGTTTCGGAGCACATTGCTACGCCAAAGATTTGTGGTGTCTATGATGACTTTATCATTCAATTAGATGTTTCTGTTGTTTCTTTCTTTTCGTACCGTCTTTGTCCTGCATTAAATATATCATACAAGGTGGAAACACTACGTCTGCTTCCGCTTTATTCAATTTTTGTCATGTTAAAAAACAAGAACCATGAAAAGTACATAAACCCAGCAGTCTATGACAAAACGTGCGTACATAATTACAATCGATACTTAATGTTATTTATATAAAGTATTACATAATTTTGTTATAGTTACTATATGGGTATTTAAGATGAATTTATAACATATGTTAAAGGTACATGGTATCTTTGGATACGTTGGATGTTGTTGCGACTAATTCCGCATGGAGAGGAGCGTGGAAGCGGTTTCCAAATTTTGTTACAATGAATGACGCATTGGATATGGCCGCAAGTTATCCTTACCGGATGAACACTCAGAGAGTGGTCATCGTATTATCCAGAGAGGTAAGTGAGCACGGCACACACATATACGCGTATACAATCAGGATGTCAACTAATCCTAAATTCCATGTATGATAGAAAATTATCAATGTATCAACCATACGTTACATTTAGCAATCACAATATTGCATTATGAATAGATAAAAAAATGAAATCAAAACCATGTTTACGACCTCTTGGCAATGAGGTTTCTTTTTCTGATTTGATTTGTAGGTTACATGTTGGCAAATGGCAAGGTAGTATTAAGATATTTTAAATTACAGTAGTCTCTCCTGTTAAAAAAAAATCTGATAATTTTGTGGCGTCATAATTATTTTCGAAAGCACGCATTGATGAATTTCAAACGGAGTTGTTTAATGTGCGTAATCCTCCATTGACCTACTCAGATCTTTTGATGTATTTTAACCATTCCTCTCCAAATATTTCCCCTGATGCTGTCAGTTCAACTATCGTAATTTTCATTTTGCTGTATTAGTCGTTTAGCAGTCGATTAAAAGCTCGATTTGAGGAATTCTATTGGAATATACTGTTTATAAAAGTCTCAATTACATAATGATAATAGTTCAGCATCAGTCGCTCCTTTATTCTCCTTCTATGTTGACCATTAAGGCATCCATCTAGCATCGCCGATGATTGTACTTATCGGAACAGGTCTCTTCTGTGCACTACCTTTAGAGCATTGTGTTTAAAAATTTAAAATGGCCGCTTTGGTCTCTGATTCGTTGAGACATTTTCAACTTATTCTCATAAACAGTTGCACTGCTAGATTCCAAACAAGGTACAAATGTTCCTCATGGGGTCAGAAACAAGTCTTTTTACTTTTCATGCCGATCTGAGATCCAGGATGGCAACCATACACTGTAAGTCTGATTTGCTGAGAGATTTTCAACTTCTAAAGAACGACTGAGGCGAATGACTTCAATCTTGGTAAAAATGTGTTCCTTATGAGATCCCCAAAATTTCCATCCTTACGTCTGATTGGCCAAGACACTTTCAATTTCTTCTCAAGAATGACTGCACTAATCGACAAGTGTTCTTACTATCAGTGTCGATCATGAAATTAAAAATGGTTACCCTGGCCTCTGATTGGCTGAGATTTTCCGTCTTCTCAAAAAGGGCTGATGTTATTGTATTCAAACTTGGTACAATTTTCCTTATGAGGATCCCAATAAGTGGTTTACTTCTAGTGCTTATCAGGAAATCAAAGATGGTTACCCCTACTTATTTACAGTCTACACACTTGAAATGCAAATATATTACAGAGTAGTACAGTTGCGGGATTACACAATGTTACGCGATGTGCGGTGTGCGTGCGATGCACATTTGTGCGCACGATGGACGAACGTTGTGCGGTAACAATCGTAGTTGGTGTAAATTGAGGAATGGCTTAACAATGTATACGGTTTCGGGCTTAAACATGTAAAAGTTATTTATAATTATGTTCCTATATTTTAGCTACCTTTATAAGCTTATATCTTTCTTTTTGTAATTTCTTCAATTTAGAAATGGTCTTTTCGGGGTATTTTTAGCGACCCAAAATCGACACATGTAAAATTATAACATTTACAGACGCGGTCCAATATACAAGTAAACATAACCACTTATTTTTTACGGGACCTTCACCGTAGTGTTCCTCAACCTCGGCACTAAAGTACCTCGTCGAGGTTTGGAAATCATCGTGAAAGGGAACTATAGAGCAAAACGACTGTAATTAAAAAATACCTAATGTTTTTTCATTACGGTCAAACAGTATAACATATCAGCTCTTTGTGCCAGACATAGGCCAGGTGAAATAATCTTAAATGTTATGATGAAAAAATAAATATATGCAGTGTACTTTATTGCATAAGAGCATTGCGGATTTTTTCATTCCGTAATACCACCTATTGTACCTTATCGCACATTTGTGTGAAGAGAGGCGCACAACGGGGAGAACGATTGTTAATTGCACAGTTGTGCGCACCATATGCGGACGGTGTGCGAACGCTATTTTGATGCGTTGTGTGGTTACACAACTATAAATAAAACTAGGACAGGCTCGTTCCTGGTGGTTTATGTAAAAGATTTTCAATCCAACCCTTTTTTCTGTCTATTATACTTTAAAAAGAACAGAATATTCCTTATATGTTTTATTTGCATCGGTGATCATCGCATATGTGATTTGTCATTTTAATTTTCGTTTCAGAATCCAAATATTACTGATGATGTAAGAACAAAATATGAGAATTTGAATATAATAGTCAATTCGTTTGGGGATTACAAGACCGTGGATGCCTCTAACAAAGTCAATGGCATAAACTGGGACGGTTCGGTCATATACAGGAATTGGTTGTCGACGTATCGCATAATGCCCCTTCCGGAGGTAAGATCCAAACAAGCGCATCCTATTTTATAGCATCGAATATTTGAAATTTATGTTTTTATGTCAGGCTATACTTCATTATATAAACTCATTTAATTAGTATATTAAAGATGCATTCATTTACTAATTAATGCACACAAATTAAGTTTAGCCTTATCTTTATTATTAACATGACAAATCATCAAAATGATTGTCGGCGCTGTAACAAATGTCGAGGTAAATCGTCGCAGGAAATGTGGTTTTAAGAGGAAAAGAGACATTGTTATTCTACTATGGGATCTACGATTCTGAATGGAACATTAACACTTCAACTCCTTTGACCATATTGGGAAATAAAATGCGTTTAAAATGATTTGCATTACACAACAATCAAATAGCCTATGTTACTGTTAGTAATAGGGGACATATAGACAACGAAATAATGCCATTAAAGAATACCATGTACTATACCCCGGGGTACATTAATAACAAAGGCAATATTTTGTAGACTTTTTTTCTTTCTGAAATCAATGGAAGCGGAATAATCGTAATCTATGAGAGTAGTTTTAAATAACTTCTAAGAATATCAAAACAGAACAAAATAGTTATTAGCATGGCGACAGTTTGCAATTTTCTTTGTGTCTGCAATTCTGCTCAATTCGAATTCCACTTAGTGATAACTACTCAATTCTCGTATCAACATATCACAATTGAATTTAAAATGTAAGAATTATGTAATCATTGAACAATTTCACTGTTAAACAATTTCATTTGAACACAAACGGAAGACACATGAATCCGCTGCGCCTAACAAATACATATAAAATACAAGTAAGTTTAAATGAAGTTAAACATTACTTTAACAGCAGTTTACATGTTTAGTCAATGGCCTATGTTGAAAGTTGTCCTGGCATAAACTACGACAATTTCCTATTTCAACACGAGTTTTCTTTTGTAATGAGAAAGGAAGATACTCATTTCTCAACATCGCCAGGGTATGAACATATGGAAATGCTTGCTCACAAAATCGTACAGCTTTGGTAGCACTCATATCTTTTAGTGAAAATGATTATTTCGCAAGATTAGTTAATATTACCACACCACGAATATTTCAATTTATAAAATATTGATAAAGTAAATTTGTTTACAGGGAAGCCTTGTACAGCTAGTGGTAGCTACTAAGGGAGCGGTCTTCAATGCTGACTCGGTCACCGAACGTCGCGAAAAGAGATTGCGACATATCGTCAGGCACATCAAAAAACAAATCAAGCTAAATAACTTCTGCTGACATGACGGTGTAACTCGTCGGTTTAGGTCGCAGCCGATTTGCGAGTCTGCAATTTAATCGTCATTTATGTTCTCTTTTAAAACGCTAACAGCATCTGTTAACACACATTTGAAAATGATCACTAAGATAAACCCAAAAAGACGGAATTAAAAAAAATATGAATACATTACATTATATGTAATACTAACGATAATTTGGAGTCTAGTTATTATAGGAGCATATCTCAAGAGTTTGACCGAATGAAAAATGCCCCCCTCCCCCATCCCTACACACACTCGTGGTGGCATGTTATCGTGTTAATCTAACGCATTTATAATCCCAGTACAGTCTATTTCTTCCTACAAGTAATTCATATACAGAGTAACTTTTCGCTTTCAGATGAATTATCTTCCCTGATAATTGTATTCGTGGTGTAAATGTCTGTAGAACTCTGCATTTAAAGATCAAACAAAACATTTCTCCGAAGTACTTTTCAAAAATTCGAAATTGTCGTTTCGTTAAACATTAAATTACAAAGCAATGGAAATATCATTTAGATCTTCGAAATCGTTGGCACGATTTGAACATCATCAGGTAATGAAGTGAAGTCGTTCATATCACTGAAGGAATCATGTTATGGTGGTTAAATGTTAGTAAAAATATTTACATGACATACATTTGTATATATGTGATTTACAAATTACAACTAATGTAGTGTATTTCATATTTCTTTTAATTTTGTTGCATAATGCCCGTATACAACCAAATGCAGTGATATGTATGATAGATAATTACGTATTTGCTATGTTTTTAAAATTATAAATAAATAAGTAATAACAAAATAATGTGTATTGAATAACGAATGGTTTATATATTTTTGATAAAGAAAAGTACAATTTCTGAATACAAATTGTGGTGGATAAATATCATATGTGTTTGGCACATTTTTGATAAGGAAGGGTATGATTGCTATAACTGGATAAACCTTATATTTAATAAGGAAAAATAATAGTTATTAATTAAGAACTCGTCGGTCAAACGTTCGAAATTATAGTGAAAGTAAACGCACACCAAATAGATCGCAATCGCTCCTTACTCTTTGGCTATCCTTTATATTCATGGTATGAATATTAAATGATGATATGACTTTCCGTATAACATAATGTTTAGGAGCGAATTACATAAAGCTGTATACTAAGTGTGTGGTAAAGGAGAACGTACTGTATGAAATATAGCGTGAAAGATAATACTGCATACCGTGAAATTGATGTTGCAGTTACACTGAGTGCGAATTATACATAGTAATAACATTTCAAGGGCGAAGTGAACGTTGCGCGAAAATGGATTATCCCATTTAAAGGCGAAATTGTCCCGGTATACATTAGTTACTGCGTAACGACACAGTGGTACCCGCATGTCAATATAGTAACAATATTCAAATTAAGTGTCATAATAATATACCATAATTTTAGCATTGGCAAGTGATTGACTTGAGATGAGGTAGTGATAACAACAATACAATGTCGCGTTACGTACTGGTAGTCTACCTATTTTAGTTAATAATGTTGTCATCTCTTCTTTGTTTAATGTGTTGTCACTAGTTGTAATTGTTTCATAATGATATTCATTGAGAGAGTACATCAGCCTTTTGAAAATATCCTATCCTCAATAGGTACATTATTTTTTAAATGTAGATAATCATTTTCTTTAAGTTTGATTAAATATGGTAACTAAGATTGTGTTTGGATAAAAGGCCACTGTATGGAAGGTATCTGGGTGCATGGGAACTTACAGAGTGGTTACTTATTATAAATTTCGACAAAGGCAAGCGAAATATAACGATGTACTTATATAGCCATTTTTTATGTATTAATAAAAAAAAACATCAGGTGAAATTCTTGTTATATATAAATGACCTGTACAACTGTCTTAGATTGGTAATGTTGTTCTGTATGCATCTATTCAAGATGTTGTATAAACTAGTGTTTCAATTCAAAAGTGCCACGATGAGGTAATCCTCGAAGTCCAAGAATTTCGCTATAGTTACATACAACTTCTCTACATCCCGATGATATGTCATGGCAATAACAAACGTTAGCAGAAAGCTATTTGATTAGTTTCAGGTATAAAACCCTGACCAATCGTTAGGCAGATACCTGCAATTTGACAAATTCTAAAGCCTGTAGAATTTATCATTACGCTTGCGCGCGATTTCATTGATTTTAATCGAAGACATCGTACTAGTCTAATTGTATCATCCGAAAGGGGTCGCGATTTTACCAGGAATTAGTTCTGGGTGCAGGAAAAATAGGTATATCAAGTGGAACCCTTGGAGTTTCAGGATGAATCCGATCGTGATGTTACATTTGCGACTGTTTTGGTCAAAGAAATGCTGTATTTTCTACTCATTAAAAAAAAGAAAGAAAAAAAGAGATTTACAATACATTTGCGCTAAAGTATTGTTATAGAAACGGCTTCCTGATAGACGTACGTTTTATATGGTTCCATTGTTTGATTTCATCTAGCAAATGAAACTGAGCAGTCACTAATGACCAGTTAGCGATAATATAGTACTAAGAGGATTTAAAGTTTTTCATGGAGTCGGATATAGCTGTCCGGATGACTGGTTGCTTGTCTATGAGCAGTAACGCCTCTGCTATTGAACACTTGGTGATGGCGGTCAGCAGTGCACACGGGACACCCTAGGTGACAAAACAAATCTACATGAAACATAACATCACCAGCTGGGAACAGTAAAAAGCCAAAAACTATACAGCAGGTGTGAGAAAGGATACAGACCGTCAGAGTCTAGATATTTCCTTTTTCTCAAATTTGATTCTACATTACCCCTAGTGTGTTGACTTTAACCATCTACCAATTCGCCCCTGAATGTTAGGGGAAATAGTTATTGTAAAAGGCCACTAAACTGGTATACCCATCACTCTAAATATGATCTAGAGCACTTCTATCAGATTAAACTGACACTCGTTTTCTCTTTTTNGGTTATCGTAAAAGGCCACTTAACTGGTATACCCATCACTCTAAAAGTGATCTAGAGCACTTCCATCAAATTAAACTGACACTCGCTTTCTCTTTTGACAATGCTTCACATAATACTTCGAAAACAACATTGTATTATGTATAAAGTATTAATAAATAATTTGTATTAATGCAAAATGTCACAGATTCATTCACAGTCCTCTTTCTAAACGGTTAATACAACCTCACAGACTCTTCATAAGAGAACGACATAGGTATACTTGCAAGTTACAAGCGCATGAAGCATTTGAATGGTCATGTATCACGACAAAAAAAAGTTCTAGTGTATTCGACTGACATGTTTCATGTATAATAACAGATATTTCGCTCCATTTATCACTTCAAGCGTTTGTTCAATTATAGCAAGACCATGCGGTAATTAAAAAATATGTGCGACTTTAAGAAGTAATATTGTTTATTTCTTAAATGCGAGCACCATTTTATGAAAATACAACCAACCTTTTCCATGGCCGTGGCGCGCTCTATATGAGACGAGGTAGACAATGACAGCTGTGTCTGCGTGGGGACATCCGTCTGATAAACAGACTTTAGTAGTACAGCCGTAGCGGCCTCCTCACACAGCGAACTAAACCTCTGTTACAAAACAAACAGTATAACGCTCTAAGTCCTTTATTCAAGGGGGATTTCGCAGATACCGTTAATCAATTGACAATTAATCCATATGTTTTACGGCGTGCTGTAACCAGTAAAATCCGAAGGAGGCGAAATTACAACTGTATCGGAGGAGTGCAATGTACAATTTATAAGTATACTTGACTAAGACATTTTTGATAAATATTTGTTTCGTGATTTTATAAGTAAGTCATTTACCACACGTTTACCATGCTTGCTAGACATAGAGTTCATAAAGATAATTTGATATAGTTAAGAGGTATTTAGGTGAAGAGCCCGGTTTTATCAGTTAATCAGTATAATTGTTTACACATCAAAGAAAAAAAGTGTTAAACTTTAACAAGGAATCATGTCACAACAAAATAGCGATTTTAATTTCATAACATGTAGATATAACGAAAATAAGTTATTTCAGAGTACGAACATACGTTTCATTTTACAATGGATTTCATCTTTAACGGAACTTTGTTACAATGATGGTTGCAAATACAAAAAGAGTACGCAAGGTTTTCGCCCCACAATCCATTGAAAACTTGACACTTTTTAGATGAAATAGCTGGTTCAAGAATGTGCGCTATGGTTTCTAGGGAGAAAACTATAAGATAACTTCAACATTTCCCAAATTTAGGCAAATTTCAACTGAATATTATGAAAACAATTACTTGAGACAAAAATACATTATTTTATGGTAGTATTGAGGCAATAATAAATATTGGGAAAAATATTATTTGAAAATTGGATCTAGGTTATAAGTTTTGTTGGTAAAGGTCAACCACACTAGTTTTTTGTTTATGTACATACTATTTTTGCAAATCTTGTTTCATTACATTACTCTTTGTTATATTAACGAGGAATGGGTGCAAGTTTCACAGGTTCTGGTAGGGACATCAAATCATGGCGTCATACAAATGAGTTTTATGTACTAACCTTGCACTGGAGAATGCGTTTGAAATGTATCTATATACGAAAGACTCATCTTAATCTGACAAATTGTCAATTCTGCATAACATTTCATATTTTATTGGCAGCTGTTGAGTCCTCACAGTCTAGTTCGCATGTTTCAGTAAACTTGTAATGTAAAGGTTTGGTTACATAAGGGTTGTTTTAGGTATTTTTACAACATAATGTAGGCCTAAAATTACCTGTATAATTCCAACAGCCCGGTGGAACAATTTGTTATTACTAAAAAAAAAAGAAAAAAATGAAATATGATTAATTATGAAATATGATTAATTACAAGTATTATCAAGGTCACGAAGTCATTTTGTACATACAATAGGTCAGTCGGAAATGCTTGCTGTTCAGTTTAATTCAGATAGTTTCTGCTAAATGAATATACACACAACTTAGTTCACTTGGTAAGCAGAAGGTGTTGTTGCTTGAATACATTCTTTTTGGGGGATGCTTTTCGAGATGACTGGTGTTTTACGCGTCAACGTCAGGCACATACGAAAGGCTTCACGAATAGATCGACAATTTTGTATATAACCCAGCATTACGTTAGTAATCAAAAATCTCTAGTCTGATGGTAATTTCGACCTCATGAATATGTAAAAGTGACAATTGGAAATCGGAATACATGTGTGTCCAAACACACACTTTGTAGCTTAGTCTTATGTCTTTCCTCGTCCCGAAGAGAAATAGTTTCCTTCAAAGCACGTGACAATTTTCATTTTGTCTCCCGTAAATTCCAGGACAGTAAGGTCACCACCGGGCTGTGAGACAGTGATAAATCTCTTATCAAGGGTAAAAACTGATAAAATAAATAGAAATCATATATTGGACGATTTTTTTTATTTCTTCAGCGTGGATTAAAACTACTCCGGGAGGAACATAGATTTCTCATAGATTATTGGTCAACTGGACGTACCTATTCTTGTAATCCTGATACCCCGGACAGGCTCCGTAATTAGGATTTGTCTAGTTCACGATCGGGAAATTATTTTCTATTACCCTGGACAGGTGTATCCGCACTTTTACCGGTGTGAGATTTCCTCGTCTCGCCCTATGGTTGAGACGGGGTGATAACCCTATTCATAACAATGGTATGACGTTACTTCAACAAAACAATGACGTCAAGTCAACAATCCGTCAACGTCACGTCAACCCTGAATTTAGCTTGTAACATTATCATTACATTGTGTCCATGATACACATTGGGAGAACAGGATAAGAGAAAAAGAATCATTCACCCCTTTGTGGGTAAGATAGAGGAATCTCAACCCTTGGGGAAAGATTCTTAAGTTGCCAAACATTCGGCAAAGCCTCGTGTTTGGCAACATAAGAATCTTCCCCCTCGGGGGTGAAAGATTCTATTAGTCATCATATGGGCGAAAGAGTATGGTATTGAGGTTATCATTAATATCACAGTGTATGTAGATGTCTGGATACGAAACTGCGGCATTGTTTTTGACATTCTTATTTTCCAACCTATATCTATTCGAATTATTATCTGAAGCCTTACAAATGAATCGATTCTCCATATTTGTTGATCTCGGGCAAATAAACCTTTCCAAACGCGTTTTCTTAAACAAGACTGAAATCACCGATACTTGAATGACCGATAAGGCTACAACATAATTAAGAAAAAGGAAAGAAGGAAAAGACATGGTTGTTTGGTCATCTTAACTGCATTACTACATTGTTCACTAGTAAAACAAATATACCAACAGTATCAATTTCATCGTTTTATAAACGTTCATAGCAAAAACGTTATACTTTGTTACAGCAGGAGCTTTTACCTGACTTTGAGGTCCACCATGATGTTTTGAAAAACCTTGCCCTTAAGCACGTGCGCCCCTGTAGTGACTGCGTTACAGACCCACTTTGTTGCTATCTCCTGATATAGTTGTTGCCACTGGTCCCAAATCCCGTCTCCTACTGATGACTTGATATCATCTGCGGGCAAGGTCAAGGTCACAGACTTGTCGAACTGGTCATACACATTCTAGTAATAACAAAAACGATCAGTAAATGGTTAATCAAACTAGTGTATACAGGGAAACGTTCGCCCAGTCAAATTTTCGCCTTTTATTCATGGAAGAATCCATTTTCGCTCAGAAATAATTTCGCCCGTATCATTAGTATGTATAGTATGTAGCGTACATGTTTTCAACTTCGTGGTAAATTTGTTCTCATTATTGTACTAGGGGCGAAAAAGGCGAAAGCTGAACTGCGGCAAATATTTGCTGGTATACAGTATAACAAAATGTCTCAGATATTTGACAAAATAAACAAATTACATGTTACTGATCAAAACCCATCTATTACAGTCGAAGGGGGCTATACAATGTATGCTGTTACTAATACCGATTGAATTGTTAGCCGATATGTGGTTTTATTGTGTAGATTTTGATTGGTCGGCAGCAATCATCAACAGGTATCTGAATATTGTTCGCATATCTGAACATATATTGTTAAACGAAAAGTATTGATCTTGTACTATTTTTGAAGTTTCAAGAATTTGTTTATATAAAGTGACGTCATAAAAGCAAACGACATAATTTTCATTGTGACGTCATAGCTTCCATCCAAACTGAACGAGATCGAGAAAATACTTGGCAATCTTATTTATAATACGTACGAGAATATGTCGTATATCCTTACCGATTTGAAATCAGCATCAAACGTGATAATGCCCTTTTTGCATTTACTTTTCCATAGTTTGGGTGCAAGGTGTACAGCTCCTCCTACAAGTGTCAATATAAGAGTAAAGAAATAATGCTAACATTTGATAGTTTACAGCAAAAACCTATAGAAGAAAGGATTTCAACGAGTAATCAATATGAAGTTTATCTGAGAATATTTCACTGTAAGTGAAAAAACAAGAGGCCCAATGGGGCTGAATCGCTCACCTGGTATTAATTTCACACTTGTTATCTTAAAAGTGGACTAAAATGCAACTACAGGCAGAATATCAGTGTTTCAGAACCTATTAGAATATTTAAACATATGACAACCGTGACCTTGAATGCCGAACAAGGACATTAGGTTGAACAGAATTTATAGTCTTCCAACCCAGCATGCTTCTAGCAAAATATCATTACCCCGGACTTTTTGGTTATACAGAAAAAATCATTTAAAGATTTAAACATATATTGACCACTGTGACCTTTAATATGGTGAAGGTCATTTATTTAAACAAACTTAGTAGCCCTTTATCCCAGCATGTTACTGGCCAAATATCATCACCCTAGGCCTCTCAGTTATTCAGAAGATGTTTAAATGTTTTCAACATATTTGACCCCTGTGACCTTGAATATGATTCAAGGTCATTCATTTGAACAAACTTGGTAGCCCTTCATTCCAGAATGTTATTAGCCAAATATCATTTTCCTAGGCCTCTTGGTAATTCAGAAGAAGTTGTTTAAAGGTTTTATACATATTTGACCCCTGTGACCTTGAATATAAATCAAGGTAATTTATTTAAACAATGAAGGTCATTTATTTGAACATACTTGGTAGCCCTTCATCCCAGCATGTTACTGGCCAAATATCATCACCCTAGGCTTCTCGGTTATTCAGAAAAAAATTGTTTAAAGGTTTTAAACATATTTGACATCTGAGACCTTGAATATGAATCAAGGTCATCTATTTGAACAAACTTAGTAGCCCTTCATCCCAGCATGTTACTGGCCAAATACCATCACCCTAGGCGTCTCGGTTATTCAGAAGAAGTTGTTTAAAGGTTTTAAACATATTTGACACCTTTGACCTTGAATATGAATCGAGGTCATATATTTGAACAAACTTGGTAGCCCTTCATCCCAGCATGTTACTGGCGAAATATCATCACCCTAGGCCTCTCGATTATTCAGAAGAAGTTGTTTAAAGATTTTAACATATTTGACCCCTGTGACCTTGACAATTGATGAAGGTCATTTATTTAAACAAACTTGGTAGCCCTTCATCCAAGCATGCTTCTGACCAAATATCATCACCCTAGGTCTTTTCGTTACTGAATAGAAGTTGTTTAAAGTAAAAAGTTGACGCCGGACGACGGACGGACGACAGACGCCGCACCATGCCATAAGCTCACCTGACCCTAATGATAATACATGTATATTACCAATCCAAATGTGAGTGTGTGGTTTACTTACCACTATGACACAAAATGACGAGATCAGATTCTGTTAAATCCGGCAATATATCGGATTCAAACGTCTGTAAGGAAATTTTAAAATGTTTTCCCTGTAAAATCAAAAGTAAAGTTATACAACTTGTCACTGAAGAAAAGTCTTAAAGGATAACAATTAGTCATAATAGCGTAACTGCCCGTATACATTGACGAGGAGCTGGGCTTTTTATTTTACTTTGTTTATCAAAACGTGAATAAAATCGCTAAAATCACAGCTTCAACAAATCGCTCAGGAATTGATCATACAAGTAAAACGCCTTTATCACCTACAACGAAATATTAACAGATTAAACAAGGGAAAACACATAAACCTATCCTCCTACCTCATAACAAACAAATAACTACCAAAAGAACACTAATATACTGACACTTCCAACGAAAATAAATCGCGTACCTCAAAAACACTTGTGAGTCACCTACAACGAATTTAAATCCATGTTATTATTTTCTGGTCAACTTTTAAAACATAAAACTTTTTTTTTAATTTATAGTCACAAACAGTAGCGAGCCATCTATTATGTTTTGAAAGGATTTGCAAATCATGCATTTATATAATTTCATAAGAACTATTAGTTGAATAATCTCAATGACATATGACAGGTCCCGGTTATATTCCAGAATTAGATCGCCCTTGACAAGTATATTTTGTATGCTTATTATTTTACGACTTACAAAACAATTGTAGTCGTCGAGGTATTAAGTAACTAGCATACAAATGGGCGGACATGTTTTTTTTAATAAGTTTAGAAAATATCCACTGAGGTTGTAGTTCATATAAATATTTCACATGTTTAGTTTATTTCACCTACGTACCCAGAACTAAATATCCAGCTTCAATTTGTATATGAATCCTATTTTGTGTTACTGTGCTACCAAGAGAATATCGTGTAGTGTTGCAACGAAGAATGGTGGAATGCAAAACGGATAGGTTAATTAAAACTGAATATATGTATCAGATACATTTAAGAATAGTTCTTTAAATTAGAACATGGAACAAACATCAAACAAAAATAAATGAAAGTATAAAAAATATGTGTGACTACAATTAAATAACTCACCAAATGCCCTATATCTCCTGCATTGTTTGACAGTAGTGAATATCCTTCTTCAACAAATCCTCGTATATCATCAAGGGCTGTACAGACAAAGGCAAAGGATTAGGATATACTGTTGTATAGCGTACAGTTTTTCCAACAGCTCATTTTTTCAGGATCTACTGTAGTGTCGTCTGATCTAGTTCGTAACTGTATACAGGGTAGCCAATGTTAATCTTTCCTAAGGTCTATTTTAATGTTATCCCTATTGTAACCAAAGGCAAATTATCTTTCCTAAGCTCTATTTCTACTCTGGTTTGACAATTCTTCCGAATATATACAGGTTTTCTTCCGTATGGATGTCAAAGACCAGATGTTAACATGATAATTAATATTCTGAGGATAGTTCAGTGATACATTAGAGTTTCTATATATTTGCATTAGATTATTACTGGTTTGTATAAATATTGCAACAGATCTGGACCATCTTATTTTAACACTGTTTGGAGTGGTACCTGCACGGAACAGTTTGAGTCGATGACAATTTGTCTGTGCTGACCACTTGTTTGTGAGTTGAGTGGTTGACTGATATTTACGGTAACTTTGTTTACGAATAAGTGTTATAATTGATAGTCAATAACATAAATAACGTCATACACATTATTTATGTATATGGCTATGTTAAATATCATTACTAAACAATAATTTGTGTACACTGATTATCTTTTGTAAGGAGAGGGTGATCATAGGCTTTGCCTTTTTCCTAATGCCTTTTGTCTCTAAGATAAGTAGAATAATATTTTCAAATTGAAGAAAAACGTTATCGTAACATGAAGCGACATCCTATGTAAATGACAGGAGGCAACACAAATTGTCACAGCATTAGGTAACGACTTTATAAAATGTTGGTAAATTTATCAAGATTAGAAGCCAAGATAAGAAGCTAGTGAAGGAGAGTCTGTAATGTTTATAGCTAAACACTTTGTAGGACAAACCCAATTCAGGTGGTTCATAAAATTGGTTTCTCAGTGTAAATTAAAGGGTTATACAGGCATATCGTTGCCTTCATTTAATTGGTCTTGTATTAAGTAAGAAAACATGACGATTTATAAAATCACATATATTTACTAGAAGAAGATATTTCAAATAGGACACCAGCATGGAATGACAAAAAAAAATAATAACATTGATCATCATTTAAACAGTGTGCAAGGGGATACTGACGTGATACTCATTACTTAGCACAAGATGTAGGGGCACATTGACGTTATAATCATAACTTTCTAGCACCTTATGAAGGGCACCTTGACGCAATAATCATAACCTGCTAGCACAATATGTACTGTCACATTGACGTAATAATCATAACTTACTAGCACCTAATGTAGGGACACCTTGACGTAATAACCATAACTTACTAGCACCATATGTAGGAGGACACTCTGAAGCGTCAATTAATGCCATTACTCCTATTCCGTCCCATCCGAGGTAGTGGACACTGCCTCCCGCGTTCAGGCTATAAGATATTATGTAACACGGTTTACGTCGTTTAAGGTGACATTCTTGTAAGGACATTATCTTGAGTATCGTAAGCATGATTATATTATATAAATCAAAAAATCACATCAGAAAGAAGACATTGCACATACTTAATCGTAATGAACATCCTACATCTTCAACATTTACTTAAGTGTCCTATGAGTTGATGTTTCATTTGGATTATTTGATAATTGTTGATTTCGACACAGCTTGCTTTATTCATTCCCTACACATCGTCTCGATCAATCGAGTTAGAAATAGCGGTTTGTTGAAATGGCATATCATGAAAAAATAACATAACAAATTTAATTACCGTACCTATTTCCAGCGAGTTGTATAAGACCCGCCACAGCCTCGCTTTGACTGTAAACGTGATCACATGTCATTCGATACGTCTCCAGGTGCGCATGCGTGTCCCTAACGGAAGTATCAATAAGATTTATTTGTACCGAGACATTAATATATTTACGCAATGATACATAACACTGTTTATAAAAACACAACTATCAGTTACATGCTATCTCAACAACAAAATATATTTACATGACGTTGAATTATAAATACATGTATTATAGTGCATGTGGCCATTATATATTTGAACTTCAAACGAGTAGTATCGGGGGTTGGGGGTGAGTATTTCTTTGAGAAATAATTTGTTCGTAGTATTTTACCATGCATGAGATGGGTTGGCGAGGCTGTCGTAGGCAGCTACTAGTATAGCTTCTAGTAGAATCTTTGTGGTGGAACCGGATTTCATACGACTAGATCCAGTGATCGGTTCCGGCTGTAAATATAGATATAAAGTATAGAACACAGAAGAGTTGTCACAAGTCTACATATACAATACACTAAAACGTTGTCTTAAATGTAAATATACACAACACTAAAACATTGTCTTAAATGTAAACATACAATACACTAAAACGTTGTCTTAAATGTAAATATACAATACACTAAAACGTTGTCTTAAATGTAAATATACAATACACTAAAACGTTGTCTTAGTCTTTAAGTCTTTACGAAAATATAAAGTAAATAAACCATTTAATTCAATAAGATTAAATTAATCTGGATTCAGTTTCATGCCCAGTTTTAGGATTTGCTATTTCATCAACTACTCACCCCTATCACAGGATTGAGAATAAAGCCTTTCCCTGTCTTCGCAACTTCCTGAAGCTGATAGGCTACTGCAATGATAATTTACTCCTCATCGTATAAAGAAGTTTCATCACACTGCAATTCCAGGTTTGAATATTTGTTTCGTTATCTTAATTTTGAAGTAAAAATATAGAAAACAACACGATTACCTCGAGATATGATAGTTTAAATACGGTCTCGCTGTGTTAAAATGTTTCACACTTAAAACAAATGTTTTGTTTATCTAGCCTATGTTAGTGTCAATATGAAGCTACTGTACCGTTTGAGAAGGTCCGATTCCAGTTCTCAATCTCTATGTTCCTGGTCAAATATAGAAAAATGATTAAAAAAAAAAAAAATTACAATTAAAATGCCTTTACAAATAAATCACCTTAAAAAATATCTTTACGCAATTCCTGTGCTATCATAAGGAGACAAATACACCAACACATCCTGTCACCAGCACACGTACACGCATGCACACATACATAACACACATGGAGGCGCGTCCTTAAATGAGCTTAGCAGTTGATAGGACGATTAAACAATCAATCATGCTAAGATGATAATGGATTAATCTGAATTTTGATTCAACATCCTCTTGTTAAGGTGCCTACCTGGCTAAACTGATGGGCCACTATCTACACGCATATTTAAAGAGATGTACCGCTAGGTAACTACAATATACTTACATGCCTATTTTAAAGATGTACTACTAGGTAGTTAGTACTTACCTGGCTAGACTGACGGGGTTGAACCCCACTAGGACAGGTGTGATGTAGTCCGGATTCTGCATACAGTAGTGAAGTTGTCCCGCCACGTACGGCGCCGATAGGCCGCACGTGATCCCTATATATAGCACCTTGGTTTTCCCAACACATGCCTGGATGTAAACATGTGACCCAGAATTTATAGTATTGCTAGTTATTAATGTCAACTTTCTGATGATGTCAGTTTATTGGTTAATGTCTTTCTTCAAGCATAAGAAGGAAATCAGTGTTCATCTTCTATCGATTCTTTATGTAAATATACTCATATACAGATATCTACATGCAGATTTGCTTCTCTGATAACATACGGAAACAGAAAAAAAACCTATAGTTTCCCTGTTGAGATTAGGTAGCAAGTTACCTTTGTCTATTGAGACTATTGTGACTTACCTCTCGGAGCATATGTATGCCGATGGCCGGATCGTCCTCTGGAGCCTCCTGAGAGGTAAACAATGCCCTGTCAATGAGATTTTTTCAAATATTTATTAATTTATTAAAGGCACAACATAATGTATATAACAAATATGAATACTCATTGACAATATATCGTACGGACTTCAATAGGCGGGCCTGAGCTAGGTCACATCATCTCTATCATAAAGAATCTTAAACGCGATAAAACATCAGTTATTTGTGTTGTGCTTTAGTTAAAAGAATTAGGGAAGAGATTCCATTTAGGTGTTATGGAGAAAATGGGATTTTGTTTGTGGGTAGATCTGTCCGTAAATAATGTTGTTTCCGTGTTCTTGGTTCTTTGGGAATGAGAAAATTTATGTTTATTGTCATATGTCTGGGTATTATGTTGTACGGGAACTATGAGGCGTGTTTTGTTTCTTTTCTTTTTTTCTGCATGTGTTCGGGGCTGGCCATTGAATAGTATGTCTGTGCCAAAGCTTGTGTTGCAATATTTATTGTCGAGGTAACAAAATGCTCTTCTCTGTCCTTTTTCTATTTCGGTTATGTTTTTTTTGTAATGTTGATCGTAGTATGAAGAGCAGTGTTCTAATAATGGTCTTACAATGGCCTTCTATGCGTCCTTTTTGATGCGAGATTTATTTAATTGCATTTTAAGAAGGCAGTTGTTTTACAATATTTTCGCGTTTGATGTAATCCTGTTTGTCCTATACATAAGTAGGTTGTTTCGAGTTTACCAATTCCAATTTGTGATCCGGTTGTTTGTCTCGACGTATGATATGTGTGCGTTTCGGTGAAAATGTAATAGGGTACATTTGTCTAGGTGAGTCATCTCCCAACTTGCCAGCTGTATTGATGCATTTTGCGTTTGTTATTGTGTTGTTGAATATAACTGTGCTATGTGTTATGTATTCTGGAAGCTCTGTTATGAGGACCTCACTTGAGGTGTTTTGTTTGAGCATTGTAAACGCTCGATTTTATAGGGGCATATAACTGTCACACTATACGTTAATTTAGTTCTTATCTTTTCTATCTAATTTAATTACGACGTGAGAATTCTCCTTGACGCAAAACATAGATTGAACACAGCAGAATGTTTAGACTTTGACAAGATGAACCAAAGTTAAAACCGGATAAGCAAGAGTGGTTAGATTGTAGTGCAAAAAGTGATTACCAAACGTGTTAGACTGTGCCATTTGTTTAAATTCGTATTGCAAATGTGCACTGTGATTCGCAAATGATTTAACAGTCACTTAAAAGGAGAACGATCTAGGGTCGATAAGGTATACATTTATATATTTCCTTGTAATGCCTTTTAGGAACGAATAACGACAAAAGAAAACATCATTGTGTTCAAAAGATATACGGTAGAAACAGTGAAGCAATCAGGAAACAAAAGAGAAGAAATATATTTCAGATAACATATTTGATTATTGTCTCCTTTTTCTGATTATACGTTTTGACGAAGAAATATTCAATACAAACGTTGGAAACAGTGAACGAGTTAAGAACAGTGTATGGGAATTCACGACAGGTTTCTCGGTTATTGTGTGTGACGTACTTGTCGTGCCCAGCTATCAGATACTTGAAGCAGGGAGGCTTTCCATCCTTCTCTTGTCTCCGATTAAACGTTCTCTGCAACAGGAAGTAGACAATATTCTGTAAACACATCATGAAACTGCTCTTTGTCTACATGATTGAAATATCTTGAATGCTTTATGGAGGTCATCCGTGAGAAATTGGTAAAAAAATAACAAACACAAAATGAAGAGCAAATAATTTGTGTAAACGTACTAAGTCGTATGGATTTTTATCTTCGACTCTGCGACTGTAAACTTGATCTCACCTCTAGGTGTTCACCTTCTTTGTAAACATTCAACAAAGCTATTCTTCCAGATTAAAACTGATAACATTAACCATTAGGGATTCGGCAATAGAAAAAACATATTAATACAATACATACGAACTTGCGTCACCAAAACATTTCCCTAAAAGATTTGAAGTCAATCTTGTAAAAAGAACCCACCATATGCAAGTACGTTAACTCTTGTGAGAATGCATTGACTGCGTTCACTGAAAGTCCATCTTATAGTCAAACGAGGCGCTTTTCTTCTTTCTAAATCTCGACATTATAGATACACATATTATCTAAGACATACTTAGACACGACTATGATTTTTAGAAATGTGCACAACTTACTCCAATCCAGCAATAGATTTTATCTAAGTGACAAAATTACTTATGACCTAATTAATATGTGTTTCACTGTGGTTTGTTTTGGGAATGGGGGGAATTAATGTTGCAGTAATTTGTACCTAATCCTATTTATTATTGTAATTTGTGGCCATTAAATATGTTTAATTCAAACCCGACCGAATATTTTCTGTGGAAAAAGAAATCATGACATTCAGTAAATACGTACTGTTGCTTATCTATGATAAGTAGTATGAAATGTTGTACAAAAATTGACTGGTGTAAGACTGAATATTGCCAATATTGTGTGGTCACTGTTTGAGACTTATCATTAAACGTCATCCATGATATAGGGACGACATTCTGTAGGCACTAAATATAAGTCGTCCATTGATGAAGAAACAATGCTATGAGTCATTTTCTCCATAATGAAGAGGAATATTCTGAACCTACTTCTCGGAACTTCACGATGATAAAGATAAAATATATCTTATTTTGAAATGTATCTAAATGAAGTGACTCGATTACTTTTAGATCTCATTAAAAACCCTTGATGACAAAGAGGCAACATTTTGTGATTACTAATTGAAAGTACTTGAAAGATAATGGAACACTGTTGTATGACTACGTATTGTAATTTCTCAGTGACTAATTGGCGACAAGAAGGGTTAAGCAGTGCAATATGGTTAAGATGTTTTTTAACCTTGGATAACGAGACCACCAGACTGATTACACAAGTCACGATGATGAATACTTACGGCGGTGACGAAGGCCAGTCTGCCTGAGGTGCCACACCCACTAAAGATGACTAGTCCTGTGTCCGGGGTCTGGTCAAAGTACAGAAGTGGGTCATGGTTATGTTATAGGAGTGTGTCTTTTTCTTTATTTAAATTTTGGATTAAATGTATTCGGAAGATTTAAAGTAAGGTCACATTACAAACTAGAGGATTACACTAAACCTTGTCACATGGGGTGCCAAAGGAGACACTATCGAAAAGCAAAAAAGTTTGTAACAAGTTCAGGTGTTTGAAACAAAAAGACACAAAAGACAGCACTACTTCTGCAGTGGTATACACATAGGTCGCCTCGTTTGATCATTTAGTGGTAAAGTACATTTTGATTCTTTCCTAGCGTATCCAAACCTTGCAGAGGGACCTTTTAATGTGATTTAAATGATCACGTGACAGTAGTCTGTAATCTGACCGAATATTGCAAACGAACTTTTAATCTTGTCTTTCATTAAATATGAAGACAATACAATGATATTCTAAAACATCTTCAGTATTCTTCCATTAAAAAATGCCAAGTTTTATACTTTTGGTATTATCCCAATCGGGAACCGTCGGCACTATCCGTAAACGGGTCGGAAAGATTCGAGCTCACCTGCAGTATTGACTTCACTTCCTGTGATATCTGTTCAATCGTATGCGAAGTAGCAGGATGGTACAGACCCTAGATAATTAGTATGTAAATAGTATGAAATAACATATTGTGATGTGGAAAAACAAATGAATACATATACACATTAAAACATTTTAGAACCCTGTATGTTAAAACGTTTCATTTAATTCACGAGTTTGAATCAGTAATGCTGTGTATTTTATTTATGTTCTATATATGTTGTTGATTCTATTCAGTTCAAATTTATGCATAATATATTCAGTAGTTTTTGCTCTAAAATACAATAAATATATATTTTGCATATTATAGTTGGTTTAGATTGAATAAATGTGTATTTTGTTCAATTCGAATGCTTGTACACTGTATATATTACATATTTGGTATGAATATACGTTATATTTTATATTGTTTTACACAATATGGGGTTAACTTTAAATGAAGAAATTGCATTAAGAAATCTTTGGTAAATATTTATTTTTTTAAATCACCTGGTAGTCTTGCCAGCCCTGGAATATTTCAGAGTCACACTTCTGGAGTAGACCCAACATTTCTGCAAAAAAAAATTCTTCAATTTATAAAATATAAATGGTGGTCTTTTTATATGTGATCCATCCGTTAATCCTTTATAGTTCCATGTCTGATTAATAAGAACGAGGATGTTTAATAAATATTAAAAAAAAAATGATATAGTACATATAAAATACCTGTAGGTGTGGCCACGTCGATGTTACGTGTAATAGGATTGGCTGCTTCCGTTATAGGCGTGGCCATGTTGGATCACAGACAAAAGCTATGCTGAAAGTACACACAAACACACTATGAGCATACATGACGTCAATGAGGCAAGTGCCTGTCCAGTCACAATGTGTATGGCGAATAATTTGCATATTATCTGTTGTAACCTTTTAACACATGCATGGCTACCGGGCTATGCAGTGAATAGAGTCATGCCGTTCGTGACAAGAATTCATTTAACATCTTATATATCTCGGAGTGCGTTTAAAAAAATATCTGATGCATATGTTACGGTAGCTATAACACTAGATTAAGATCTGCCATTCACACTGAAATAACTGTTATATATGGCGATGCTGTTTAGTAATGGAATCATAAGTACAGATATTAGTGTTCATTATACGTTTTAGCGTGATGTTCACTTATAAAGAAACTTGTACACATAAACTGGTTGTTGGGATATTTACCCCAACGTGTCGCTCTTATCGTCGTTTAACGTGCCTACTAACACGTACAAGCTAGCTAGGACACACAATCACCGGATCACGTGTTCTAATGTAAACTTTCAGTATCCATATACGCACAGGAGTCGTTTGTACACACATACACTAGGAATATATTCTTGTATATCACAGAAATGGGCTGTAACTCGACTTCGCATGAAGAAGGAAAGAAAACGGAAGACATTGAAAGTCTCGTTATATTAAACTAAAGGAATCTTTCTATTCATCACAGGAACGATGATGAAAACGTCTTATCCGTCAAATTTAACGATGATGAAAACGTCATTTGCCAATGAACATTTTTATACGAAATATCATCGTCTAGATATTGTCCTACGATACTATATCCTATACATGTTCGTGTTTTCTCGTATAGCATTAGACTAATGTTAGAGGCCACACCTCTACTATTACAGGGTACGACCTTAGGTAATACGCTGTGCCAGGCACTGGACATAACCCAGTCTCTCCGCCACTATAGTGTGACAGGGGACCATTTTAAGTAAACGAAGTAAAATACGCTGTGCTAGGCACTAGACTTACCCCCAGTTTCCCCGCCTCTAGAGTGACAGCTGGGGACCTTCCTAAGTACCCCGGAATCCCCGCCTCTCGTGTAACAGGGGACTTTTGAGGAAGTACACACACGCTGTGGTATAACCTAGCGCCTGTCTGATAAGATAACGGGGGACATAATAACATTGGGAATTCACACTGAACAGACCCCAAGGTCATCCTCTTAAAAATATGTTCTCAAGGTCACTTCCTGTCTTCACATGCTTTTTTTTTTTTTATATAGTTATGGTTTAAATCAGTAATGGTAAGCGTGTGACAAACTTTATTAATGACGTTGTGCATTGCCCCCGAGCATAGCCAACCACTTATATGGTAAAATATGTCAGACAGAACGTTCCTTATTACATTAGTAATCATTCATTTCAAAGGGAACCGTATGTACAGTCCCTCGCAACGTCAACCAATGCTAAAGGTTACCATGCAAACAGCCCCAGGTAACCACCATAGTGGTTACCATGGGAACAGTAGCCAACCAAATCAATGGTTAAGACAAAGGATATTTAACAAGAAAACGTTTCAGTAGCAATTATTCATTGATACTTGTGTCAGCGCCAAAGTGAAACAACTGTTTGATTAAATTTGGTTGAAAATTTCCCGTTTTCATTTCCCCATATAGATTCTTTAGTTATGGCCTTAACTCTGAATGTATGACCTTCACATTAAACTGGTCTCGAGAGATACATAATGTAGATGTCAATAATACATATGAATGCTTCGTGAAATTCGATGATTGAAAACGTTGATAAAGAATACGTGGACCAGTCAAACTCTCCTTTTACATATATATATATAATACCTTGTCTTTGAACTGGTCTCGAAGAATTAGCGAGAAATATTTATGTGGTTTCATGAAATTTTGTTGAAAACTTTAGTCAAGATCCTGTCGACAAGCAAAAACATCTATTTTTTTAATCATCATTTACATATTTGCTGCTTAACTGCTTTAACCTTCACCTTGAATGTGTGACCTTGGCCTTTGTCGGTCTGCAAAATTGAATGCGGTCTAAAATTTTAGTCGTGAACCTGCTGCAAGCCAAATGTATAGTTTATCATCATCGCCTAAACATCCTTTTGGTTGTGACCTTAACCTTGACCTTGACCTTGACCTCAAACGCATAGTCTTGATTTTTAACTATGATCCACAGATTGATGTCAGGAATACGTGAATGAAGTTTCTTTAAATTTCAATAAACACTGGCTTCGTTTAGGAAGCTATGACGAAGCTAAAACGTTGCCAGACGGACGGACAGGATGAGGCATATATGACTATATACGCTCTGCTAAAGGCGGGCGTATGAAAATAAGAAAAACAAATGTACAATATATTAAAGAAAAAAATCCGTAACCACAAATACACATTTGTCTGAGAAAACGTCTTCAAAATTATTTATCGTTTCCTATATTTTAATCAGTACGATTTAAAACTAGCAATGCAGGTTTCCACAACTTTATTTCTGTTTTTTTCTCTCCATTTTTCCTTGTCCAGATAGTGTAACCACGTTGCCATACCTAAACTATGTTTACACGTGCTAACTGATACATTTTCCTTGTAAGAATATTGCAAGATAAGATAGGAAACCGACGCATTTTCATGTGGGCATTGTTAGTCTACAATACAAAAAAAAATCTTTACGAAATTGATTTAAAGTTTTCCACACATGAGTTAATCTGTACAGATAATATGCGAAGCGCGCCACACATGGTCGTTACTTATAACGGAATCACAAATGCTAAGCCTTAAATCTCTTAATACGTATAGCCATGATCCGGGTCCTAAATCTATTAGTAGTACTACCACTATTCGACACACGTGTTCTTAAATTCAACCGTGTTCGTACAAGTGTGGGGATATGTTGAAATGCAACAGGCGCTATGAGTGATCAATGCGTACATCTTGATGGACGTGCTTAAGTGTCAAATTCGTACATTGTGGACGAAAATTAAACCTTGCTGATAATTCATTTCCACTTGGTTTATAAAAGACTGTGAGGTCCGAGTGAACGTCAGATCAAGTCATCAAATTGATAACAACAGAAGACTCGCTACTTTCGATAGGTATTTCCTTATCAAGACCCGACCCTATAGAGTTATGGAGGGAGTTGACTCGATTGACAAGCGTGGTTCAGTGCGGTATACGACGCGACATCGTGAGTACGGTAAGACCGCTAAAGACCTGGTAAAAGGTCAAGAACAACTCCTTGAGAAGCTACAAGACATGAAGTTCGACCTGAGTAAGACGGAGCGCGAGATTACACGTGTCCTTAACCAAGTAAAAACGTCGCGACAATTCATGGCGTCATTCCTCGGGACGCGGGAGTCAAGGTCGGAGACGGTTTTTGATGAGCAGTGCATGGCTGATTACTCACACGTCACCACTCCACAGTACCACCATGTGTTGGACAACCTACAGTACCGGAATTTACGTCACATAGCCCGGAAGTACGGTTCCAATAATCCGTCGTGCGTGTATCAGTATAATATAGCAGACCAGCCATCTTCACAATCTCACTACGACACCAAAACATCGACCCCGCGCTCTCAGTCTACGACACATCTTCTCGATGATGAGGACCTGTCACCCAGGTGCGACCATACTCCGAGTATGTACGGAAGTACCTCAGAGTTCAGTGAGGACGAGTTCCAGGGTCAACCTATACCACACATTGGGGGTGACAAGGACGTTAGACAAAGACACGTATCGGAACAGTCATCGGTTTCTTCAGGAAGTGACCTGTCCGACTCTAGTAGTTTGGCAACTGTATCGACAATATCACCATTACGTGATAGCTGTCATGGTTTCATTTTTACAGACGTTTAGCGTGGTTTCTTCGTGTGTCTTTGTAAGCACGCATGGACACAACGGGCATCATCGCCATGTATTGTTATTGATAAATGATAAATATTAGTGACAATGTCGTGTGTAGTGACTGGTCAATGACAAAAGTGAGAATTTTGTGGGATGTAATTTGTCATGTAATAATAGTGAGAGTATCGTATTCTGTTAATTATCAGTCGATGATACATGTAAATATCAATGACTGTTGTGATTGGTCAGTAAGACGTGTACCGTGAATTTTGATTGGTTGCTAATACGTGTACCATGTGTTGTGATTGGTTGTTCATACTGTGGGTGTATAGTGTCGCGTGCTGTGATTGACCAATACAATGTTAGTGAGAGTATCAAGTGTTATGATTGGTGGACGTGTTTATCCAATCTGAACTCCAGCGACAATGGGTTTTTTAAGCAATACAAGTGATGGTTTAAATAATACATAAATCCATATATTTATATATAGGGAAGGCGACTTCCCTCACGCCGACAGAACACCGACTTCCGTCTGTGAGTAGTTCGAATTATTCTGACGTTTTATCGACTTTTTTTTATATCGGTCTGTCGTCGATTAACGTCAGAACTCCAGCCCTCTATAATATGCGGGAAATATGCGACCCGCGCCCGGAGTGCACTTCAAACTGATATTTTAGAAACAAATCGTCACTTTCAAACACATATCGCACATGGATCGAAAGATGTATTCTTTATGCACTAGGTGGTATCAATAACATGTTTCAAAAAACATTACGAAAAGTATTTTCCAACGTTTTCTATACCAACCCATGTTTTTAATGTAAATTAGGCCATGAGCAATGTCACATTACTTGAGGAGATCTCGCGTTAACGAAGGTATTTCCCAACATTATGACGTGGGGCGGCGAGATTTTAGTCACGTGACATTAGAAGGCGGGGCTACCAAAAAACTAGAGTAAAACAGAGTAAGTTTGAAAAAATATGTTTTTAGTGATTGTATTGGTTTTTTGAAAAATGCTATTGATACCACCTAGTGCATAAAGAATAGATCTTTCGATCCATGTGCGACATGTGTGTGAAAGTGACGATTTGTTTCTAAAATATCAGTTTGAAGTGCGCTCCGGGCGCGGGTCGCATATTTCCCGCATTTTATAGAGGGCCGGATTTCTGACGTTAATCGGCGACAGACCGATATGAAAAAAGTCGTTAAAACATCAGAATAATTCGGACTTATCTGTGAGATGAAACCCGTAAGGGCGGATTCATGTAGGCGCTAAACACCTCAACCAACCAACCAAATGTTTTTATATACGTTTTTGAATGAAGGTATATTGTTCTGGTTGTCATTAGGGATATTCAAAAATATTTGGTTTAAATAATTTGATAAATTCAGAAATACAGACTTAATTAATTTGCTTCATAATAATGAGATAGAAATGTCTATCTGTGTACTTTTGAGAAAATAAATGTGAAAATACAGTTTTTTGTTACGAATCTTTCATCCCATAGCTTCCTGGCTACCACAGAAAAGTATGATACCAAAATGATATGTTAAAGTAAAACTGTATAGATTTTAAGGACGTAAAAAACACATATCCTAATATCAAACGGTGTTAAAAGGAGTAACAGTGTACTTACCTTTCTACTGTTTTAGTGATGTTTATACAGGAAATATATGATGGACACACACACACACATATATATACCTAATGGTCACAGGCGAGCGGGAGAGCTAACTATGTCACTGCTAGGTGCGATTTGTCATCAACATCCGTGAAAGCTATTCTTTCATCGGTCAACTACTAAAAACTATATATATATATATATGTGTAAGTAATACAGCTAAGTAAACAACGTGTCATGTGTTTACCTCGTAAATTGCTTCCTTGTTTAATGTTTAAAGGATAAGAAAATAACAACGGTCTCGCATGTTAAAAGGTATAGGGTCACGATTTCATGTGAGAACATGAACATATATATAGCCACGATATCACGTTCAAAAACAAACAATCGCGTGCAAAGTTTAATAATCACGGTTTCAAGTAAAAATAAGCACAAAGTCACAGTCCCACGTGTAAATAGATACATAGCCATGGTATCACGTGTAAATAGATACATAGTCACGAAATCACGTGTAAATAGGTACATAATCACGGTATCACGTGTAAATAGGTATATAGTCACAGTATCACGTGTAAATAGGTACATAGTCACAGTAGCACGTGTAAATAGGTACATAGTCACGCTATCACGTGTAAATGGGTACATAGTCACGGTATCACGTACAAATAGGTACATAGTCACGGTATCACGTGTAAATAGATACATAGTCACGGTATCACGTGTAAATAGGTACATAGTCACGGTATCACGTGCAAATAGGTACATAGTCACGGTAACACGTGTAAATAGGTATATAATCACGGTATCACGTGTAAATAGGTACATAGTCACGAAATCACGTGAAAATAGGTACATAATCACGGTATCACGTGTAAATAGGTACATAGTCACAGAATCACGTGTAAAGAGGTACATCGTCACGGTATCACGTGTAAATAGGTATATAGTCACGGTAATACGTGGAAATAGGTACATAGTCACGGTACCACGTGTAAATAGGTATATAGTCACGGTATCACGTGGAAATAGGTACATAGTCACGGTAACACGTGTAAATAGGTATATAATCACGGTATCACGTGTAAATAGGTACATAGGCACGAAATCACGTGTAAATAGGTACATAATCACGGTATCACTTGTAAATAGGTATATAGTCACGGTATCACGTGTAATTCGGTATATAGTCACGGTAATACGTGTAAATAGGTACATAGTCACGGTACCACGTGTAAATATGCATATAGCCACGGTATCACGTGCAAATAGGTACATGGTCACGGTATCACGTGTAAATAGGTACATAGTCACAGAATCACATGTAAATAGGTACATCGTCACGGTATCACGTGTAAATAGGAATATAGTCACGGTATCACGTGTAAATAGGTATATAGTCACGGTAATACGTGGAAATAGGTACATAGTCACGGTACCACGTGTAAATAGGTATATAGTCACGGTATCACGTGCAAATAGGTACATAGTCACGGTATCACGTGTAAATGGGCATATAGTCACGGTATCATGTGTAAATAGGAACATAGTCACGGTATCACGTGTAAATAGGTACACAGAAACACTTGGAAATAGGTACATCGTCACGGTATCACGTGTAAATAGGAATATAGTCACGGTATCACGTGTAAATAGGTATATAGGCACGGTAATACGTGTAAATAGGTACATAGTCACGGTACCACGTGTAAATATGCATATAGCCACGGTATCACGTGCAAATAGGTACATAGTCACGGTATCACGTGTAAATGGGCATATAGTCACGGTATCATGTGTAAATAGGAACATAGTCACGGTATCACGTGTAAATGGGTACGTAGTCACGGTATCACGTGCAAATAGGTACATAGTCACAGAATCACGTGTAAAGAGGTACATCGTCACGGTATCACGTGTAAATAGGTACATAGTCACGGTATCACGTGTAAATAGATACATAGTCACGGTATCACGTGTAAATAGGTACATAGTCACAGAATCACGTGTAAATAGGTACATCGTCACGGTATCACGTGTAAATAGGTATATAGTCACGGTATCACGTGTAATTCGGTATATAGTCACGGTAATACGTGTAAATAGGTACATAGTCACGGTACCACGTGTAAATAGGAATATTGTCACGGTATCACGTGTAAATAGTCACAGTATCACGTGTAAATAGGTACATCGATTCGTCTTGGTATCACCTGTAAAGAGGTACATACGCACATGTACATGTAGTCTGTTGCGTTTGTGTAGGTCTGTTGTGTATCTCTGTTGTGTATCTGTACGTCTGTTGTGCTAGTGTACGTCTGTTGCGTGTTTGTACGTCGTTATTGTAAATGTCTGTTCGTCTGTTACATCATTGTATGTCTGTTGTGTATCTGTCACGATGTCACGGGTGGCATTTTACCTAGTGTTGATACTGTATATAACAAGCTACCATATTCAGATGGCATTCATATCGTCTATAAAGCCAATAATCCGATATTGTTGATGTTATTATTGTTATCAAGTTACGTTTTAAACCACTGACTTGACAACTGGCTGCTCTAGCTATTTATTGAACAAGCATAAACGATAAATACATTAGCTAAACTACACAAATATTTATCATTATAACGTTATCTTGTATGAGATACATTGTATACCATATTCCTTAAAAAGGTAGTAAACATACAGTAAGTATATATATGAATGTCAACTTGCCAAAGGTAAATCCAACATGATTTAGCATATAATTGCCAACTGAAAACAGGTGAATGATAAAATACTGTAGGTTTAAAACACCGATACAAGTGCATATACTGTAATTAATTTGCAGGTCCTTTTGTTCAATGTGATAGTTCTAGATGTGCGAATATTACTCCATATATCAAGCTTAACGTAATGATTGAGGCATAATAGAAAGAGCAAAAATATGAAAAACACCTGGAAAGGTTGGTAAATAAATGCACACAGGTGAAACGCACTCACGTTTGACATAATACTAAAATAACCACGGGTAGGAAATAAATTTGATATGGTAAATTAGACATGTAAATGAATACGTATACACACGCATTGTTTTCAGAGCAAAATCAAATTGGTACAGGTGCCCGTCATTTAAACAAAGACCGATTTGTACCGATTTTCGTTGGAACGTTTACATTTTAGAATGTAAATCAATATCAACTTTAAAGAAGTGAAAATCCCATCCCTAGCACCCTATTGTTTCAGCAAAATTTGTCTGTCTACACTTGCTTATACGTTGGCTCAACCACATGTATCTATTGCGAATGAAAATACGAATGCACTATTTTTTTTCTCTCTCTTTCTCATTTTCCATAGGTACATTGTTCAACCAGGGACAGTGTATAGAGAATACGTCCCTGGTTCAACGACAGAAAAGGTTGATTTTACGCGTTGTTTAATTTGTAGGTCCCTGTGTTGACAAGCTTCTCTGTGATCTAGATTTTCATGGGAGTGGCTTCCCTTGACCTGTCATGCTTGGAAACACGACAACAACGTACAAGATCGCATCAGGTGATTGTTTGAAAGTAGGCATCTTACAAATGCCCGCTAGAATTATACATTCGTGTTGAAGTTCACATACCTTCAGTTATGAGTGACGTTTCTGTCTTTATTTCCAATCTTCATATTAACTCTGTTAAAACTTATCGAATATTTTGGCTCGATCAGTTGATCTTTTCAGAAACTACTGAACTTACAATTCATGTTCCTGCCGGGTAAAGTTTATCATATACTACGTTCGACATGGCGGCCTCGTCAAACATGAACGTAACACCATCTCAATGATGTTATCACGCAGTGTGCCTAATCACGTCATCACATCCTTGTTGTAACAGTTATTTGGGACGAGTTCAAGATGTAGTTTTACTGCATCTAACACTCTGACATGGAATGCGGAAATAATATATCCGGATCGAGTAGTTCGTGCTGTTTAACTTTTCACTGAACACGTTCGAAGAACACTTTGCTTGTTATTTTTATTTATTTATTTCTGCCACTGAAGATTAATGTTGTACACACAAAGTTTAAGTAAAACTACTTTCATAAGCAAACTATATTCTCTTTTGTAATATACTTTTAAAGTAATGAATGTTTGAGCAAATTGTGTTATGGTCCTCATAATAACACACACTGCTATTGATGACAAACTTGATAAATCCTGGTAAGGCTTTACATAAGTTTGAAACCATGTGTGTTATATAGGACCATAACAAAATTTGCTAAAATATTCATTATTTATATTAACATTTTGATAGAGTAGGTACGCTTTATTTAGTTATTTCTAATAGTTTTTGAACAGCAAATTAAGTCTTGACAACAGTGAAATTGTTGACATCACAAAAGAGATTGATGATGTTACAATAGCAAATGTTGTTATAGTCTCGTAACAACATTTGCTTTCTCAATGCATTACAATGGAAGGATATCGAGGAAATGTAAATATAATATAAATGGTAAAAGAGGACCTGAGACAGCTGCTAATTCTTCTATCACTTTGAAAAATCTTCCCATATTTTGTAAAACAGACATATCACTGTGGTTCTTTCTTCTAGACTGATATATCAATGGGATTATCCTCTGTGAATTTTACTTACAATGTATATCAAGGACAATAACTTTTCGCTAAACAGTTTGAAAGTACATGTTGCATGTTCATTTAAGTCAATTTACTTACAATGTATATCAACAACAATTACTTTTCTAGGGCTTCTAGGTATAATCGACATAATTTCACTGGACTAGGACAGATATCTCTGTAATTCTTTCCTGGGATACCATATTCAACATATCCATTCATGATCAGTATTTGTATATGTAAGATAGTTTATATGGAAAGGATCCATCTATTTAGAAGGAAACTAGGTATAGGGTCTCATTTCCCATGATACCAATTAAGCTACAATTAATTGAGAAAAAATCAAATTTAATCAAAATCAAAAGCTGCTTCAGTTTTATGATTTTTATAAGATTGAGAAAAAGTCATGAAGACTATTTGTTTTCAAGGGCAAAGAAGCACTTTGGTCATGCAAGGCAGGAGCTTTTGCCTTCCCTTCTTAAAATCTGTTAATGGATATATTGCTTTTTTTCAAATTGGACATTGTTGTTTTGAATTAAGAGATCAAATGGTGCCATAGGGGTCTGTGAAAAAATATATCTTAACAGTTTCTGATGATCATCAATCTTGACTTATTCCTCTTTTTCCTTAATTATTTCAGTCTACCCAGCTGTTCATGTAAGTACTGCAACCTGGGAAGTTATCTTGGAGAAAAAAAGCTTGTTGTACAATTTGTCATAGTATTCTATGATTTTATTGTTGTTGCTGTGGTTTTTTCTTCATCAATTGCAGTATAGTATGTGTTTTTAGATTCAAATTACAGTGCTGGTTTTTTTTACAGGTGTCACACACAATGAGCATAGATGACCTTTGACCTCCAACATGCCTTTATCCCAGGAGTTTATCGACCACCACACACACCCTCTAAGCTTCACTCGACCACAATGGCAGTTAGACCTGCAAGGATCTCTCTACGAACTCGACCTCAAAATGTGTCAATTGAAAACTCTGACATATGATTTCAATTGGTCAAAAGACAGGTAAATTTTCTCAACACATACTGTTTTATAGTATTGTTCTTAGTGTTGGTGTTGGGACAATGATCGATTATAATCAATGATTGATTGATTGGCATTCCATTAGCGACAATCAATTGTGATTTTATCGTTCAAGTTTTGATGGATGATAATATAGCAGTGATTATAGGAAGAGGCTGTGCTCAGTTTGCGAATGGTTTTCAAAATCAGTGTATAAAAATGATGGTGGGTGATCTGTGTTGGCGCATAATTTGCTGTATTCACACTTCTAAATGACCAAAATAAATATCATTATAAAAGCAACGAGTCTGAAAGTCAGTATGTAATTTTGCTGAATGCGTCAACAGAATATTCTGTAAATATTTGTACTGCGTGAGTCTGCATCACATAAATTATGAAGCGTGACATATACTTCAAAAACAAAACAATGAATTATAGTGAAACAACAATCAAAAAGGACTTTTCATCGGTTAATGATGGGTTAGTTGATTTAAGTACGTGTTGATGTATATGTATGGTTTAATTATGGTAGTTAGTCAGAGGTATTCATGAGAAGAAATGTGTCTTTTTCAGTGGGTGTAGTAAATCTCATTGGAGGTCTATTAGAGGCGTGTGTTAATTCAGCGACAGCTGATTGTGATGCATCCTCGATATCCAGGAGTTATGCTCACTTTCGCTCTCTGCACCCCTGGAATATGTCATGGCAAAATTGAAGGCACGAAAATAGCTGTTTGAATGGTCTCAGGTAAAAAAAAACCTGACCAATTGCTAGGCTGATACATGTCCTTTGAAGATTACAAAGGAGAGACGCCCAACTTCAATTTTTACCGTTACATGACCGCAAGATTCTAGTTTTCTTGTCTCATCAACAAGGTGGCGCACACCAAGCCTTCGATTTTGCTATGACATATTCCAGGGAGTGCAGAGAGGGAAAGTGAGCGTAACCCCTGGATTTTGAGGATGATTGTGATGATGTGAGTGTCCGTGGAAATTGACGGCATGTATGTCTGTTTCATTGAAGGTTGCTGATGGATTTGTGCAAGTTGAAGATGATTGTGTCTATTTCAGGAAGTGATTAGCTATAGGGATGTGTTTTTTATGAATATTGAAAATGATGATAAGTGTTTCTCGCACTCCTGTGTGTATATGTCAGAACTGTCCAGGGTAAGAAAATGGTATAAGAAATTTCTATCTTACACCCGTTTCACGAATGTGACGAATGACAATGATGTTTACAAAATTGGGAACTTTTCAATGTTGTGATGCAGAAATAGCGATAATTGGAATGAAAGAAAAAATACTCTTCCACACCCAGGGTTCTAGTATCGGGACATTTCCATCCTCAAGACAAATAGGTGCAAATATGTTGGTAAGCCTTTCAGGTCCTACCCAACTTGAGACCCCTAGGGTGGAATTTCTCTATCCTACACCCTGGGAATGAAAGATTCTTATAACCTGTTTCAATGAAGAATTGATGAGAGATGTCTTTTTCTCCCACCCTTCACAGGTGTGTCTCCTGTTTTAGCCGGGAAAGATCAGCTTGTCACCCCCTAGTGTGACGTCATTAAAATGTATCACCAGTAATTGTGACGGCATCAAAAGTGAATGACGATATTCATACCCCACATGTGGTTTTGTTTACAAACAGACTACTGTCGGTGAAGTTGTGACTGAAATAACAGGATTGGAGAAAAATAATCATCCCCTACCTTGAGGGTGTAACAGAGAAATCTCCAACCCTCGGGGTGATTTTGTTTTGTTGTCTAACCCTAGGCAGAGCCAACCCCTTGGGTTGAAGATTTCTCTGTAACACCCTCAAGGTAGGGGAAGATTCTATTAGTCTGTTTCAGAGGACATTGTTGATAGGTGTGTCTATTTCAGGGGGAGACTGATAAGTGGTGTCTGTGTCTATTAAAGAGGACATTGATGAGCTGAGGCATGTTTATTTCAGAGTTGATGACAGATGTCTGCGTCTATTTCAGAGGATATTGATGAAAGGTTTCTGTGTCTATTTCAGAGGATATTGATGAAAGGTTTCTGTGTCTATTTTTGATGACATATGTCTTCGTCTGTTTCAGAGGACGTTGTTGATAGGTGTGTCTATTTCAGGAGGAGACTGATAAGTGGTGTCTGTGTCTGTTAAAGAGGACATTGATGAGCTGAGGCATGTTTATTTCAGAGTTGATGACAGATGTCTGTGTCTATTTCAGAGGATATTGATGAAAGGAGCCTTTGTCTATTTCAGAGTTGATGAAATGTGTCTTTGTATATTTCAGTGGTGTTCCAAGTTCTGCGACAGATGTGCAGAGGAGGATCATCAAGTTGGATCTGTCCCTTAATGAGCTGACAGCACTGGAACATGAAAGCTTAGCACATTTCAAAAATGTCAGAGAGCTCAACGCATCTCTCAACAGAGTCACCAAGTAAGAATATAAGAACAGGAGCACCATCCATAATGATGTAACCAAGCTATGAAACAAAACCTGACGTATATACTCTTAATTTGAAGCTCTTTCTAGAGTTGAAAACATGTATTTTTAAACAAGATGAAAGTTGAAATATTTTAATTTGTCATATGAAATTGCTAAGTATTAATTAGGCCTGGTTTCATTGCCATTCATTCATTTTTATGTTACGTATATATTTTAAAGTATTTGATGTAAAATTATACCATCAGAAATTATTTTGATTTATTTCATTTTGAACATTGCTCTGTGACAAAACCTAACAAACTTTTGTAAATATCTTGTCGAAGATATTCAACTGAAATTGAACCTCTATCCTGACATATATTTCCTTTGGTTAAAAAATCCAAAATAGATGGTAATAAATGGAGGATTGTGTTTAAAACAGCTCTATAACAAGTTCCTTTTAGAAATATTACCATTGCATTTTATCCCTATGTAAACTTCGAAAGGCTAGCAGCAGGTATTGATTCAGGTCTGTGGTTTGTCTGACCAAATGTAGCAACAATGAAAAAACAATGTATTGATTATTTTACACTTATTTGGTTATCTAAAGATTTGGTCATTTGTCAAATTTGTCAATAGAGTCAAGATTTCAATTATGATCAATTCATTTTTTTACTCTTCAGGTTCGCGGGAGTGGAAGTGTTTAAGTACTTGTATACACTAAACCTGTCTCACAACTCCATCAAAAGAGTCGAGAATATCATCGCTATTCCGTCTCTGGTGGAGTTAAACCTCAGCATGAATGAGCTCCGGGATATCTCCCTCATGCCCAGTCTCATCAACTTGGAGATTCTCAATGTCAGCAATAACAAAGTAAGTATATCACCTTGTATATGTTTGACAGACTGAGGGAGTTACTTAGTGACTTCAAACGTGACTATGTTGGAGCTTTGATAACTGAGTTATTCTCTGAGTGACTGAGGGGGTATTTAGGTGGACAATTAAGTCAAGATCTTGATGACTGAGTGAACAGTTGAGCTAGTTCAACCTCAAATCACTGATTATTTTATTTAATGAGTATTGTGGTGATTGTGAGTGTAAGTGGATAATTGAATTTCAATCTCTGAATGACTGGGCAAGTATTTAGGCAAGTGAGTCAATTTCTGGATATCTGAAGGAGCGTTTGAGTAAATTATTTTATTGAATTGGTGATAAAATTTGTAGAGCTTTTTCTTGGACCATTTTGGGTCCAAAATTCTCATTGGGAAATGTTACTTTTCCCTTTATCTCTGTATTATTCTCAGAAACAGAAAATTCTTTTAATCTCAGCTTGTATTCATATTACAATACAACAACAACATGTAAAATGAAATAATATTTCATAAATAAGACTGTTTTGAATCTTTTAGATGATACTCTGTTAGACAAAATCAGTATTTGGTATAGTATCAAAATTTCCAAATTTAGTTTACAGTAGTATATTTTAAAGCAAAAGGCCCCTTTACCCAAAATAGTGAGATAAAAACCTTGCTATATAATAATGAAAAGGTTGGAGCAATGAATGGCAAAGGCCACATGCTATTGGTAAGGGACTAGGTGATGTTATACAGATAGATGTCTGAGGCTCTGTACACTACAGAGTCTAATAGTTAAAATACCCTCCTCTGACAGGTCAGTACAGTAGTAATTTAGCCAATGTTACTGTACTGTCACCCAATGTCATGTGTGGATTGATATTAAACATTTTCTGTCTGTATAATTGCCAATGTTGCAAAATTTACATGTTTTGTTTTCAGTTAGAATCTCTAGATGGCATCCAAGGTCTTCCAAAGCTTAAAGAGTTGTATGCCCAACGCAATGAAATTGTAAGTTGAATTGTATGCCCAGCGCAATGAAATAGTAAGTTGTATGCCCTGCGCAATGAAATTGTAAGTTGTATGCCCAGCGCAATGTCATAAATAGTTGTATGCCCAGCACAATGAAATTGTAAGTTGTATGCCCAATGCAATGAAATAATTAGTTGTATGCTACGCACAATGAAATTGTAAGTTGAATTGTATGCCCTTACTTCACCTCTTGCTAACCTTACCTGTCACTTAATCCGTTGGTATCCTTGCCTCCCAGTGCAATGTCATAAATAGTTGTATGCCCAGCACAATGAAATTGTAAGTTGAATTGTATGCCCAGCGCAATGAAAAAGTAAGTTGTATGCCCAGCGCAATGAAATTGTAAGTTGTATGCCCAGCGCAATGTCATAAATAGTTGTATGCCCAGCACAATGAAATTGTAAGTTGTATGCCCAATGCAATGAAATTGTAAGTTGAATTGTATGCCCAGTGCAATGAAAAAGTAAGTTGTATGCCCTGTGCAATGAAGTTGTAAGTTGTATGCCCAGTGCAATGAAATAATTAGTTGTATGCTACGCACAATGAAATTGTAAGTTGTATTGTATGCCCAGCGCAATGAAATAGTAAGTTGAATTGTATGCCCAGCGCAATGAAATAGTAAGTTGTATGCCCAGCCCAATGAAATAGTAAGTTGTATGCCCAGCCCAATGAAATAGTTAGTTGTATGCCCAGCGCAATGAAATTGTAAGTTGTATGCCCAGTGCAATGAAATTGTAAGTTGTATGCCCAGCCCAATGAAATAGTAAGTTGTATGCCCAGCCCAATGAAATAGTAAGTTGTATGCCCAGCCCAATGAAATAGTTAGTTGTATGCCCAGCGCAATGTAATAAATAGTTGTATGCCCAGCCCAATGAAAAAGTAAGTTGAATTGTATGCCCAGCGCAATGAAATAGTAAGTTGTAAGCCCAGCCCAATGAAATAGTAAGTTGTATGCCCAGTGCAATGAAATTGTAAGTTGTATGCCCAGCCCAATGAAATAGTAAGTTGTATGCCCAACCCAATGAAATAGTAAGTTGTATGCCCAGCCCAATGAAATAGTAAGTTGTATGCCCAGCCCAATGAAATAGTAAGTTGTATGCCCAGCCCAATGAAATAGTAAGTTGTATGCCCAGCGCAATGAAATAGTAAGTTGTATGCCCAGCGCAATGAAATAATAAGTTGTATGCCCAGCCCAATGAAATAGTAAGTTGTAAGTCCTGTGAAATAATATAATTAGATAAGCTGTATGCACAGTGCATTGAAATAAAAATTGTTTACATTGAGATATGGGGTTTTGTTATAAAAAAAACCTACCACATTTTTGGTCATCTGCAGATAGATCTGCAATATCTTGATTTCATGTTGTGATTATTTTCTTCAGAAACACATTTTGCCACTGACGGGATGTTTCCACCTTCAGGTGTTGAATGTGTCTAGTAACAGTATACATATGTTACACACAGTGGTGGGGGTCATCTCACAGCTCAAACAGCTCGAGGTGCTCAACATGCATGTAAGTATCTCACCTGTCACTGGCCTTATCTGTCATATACCAAGTCTCACCTTCCTCACATGTCACTTAATTATAACTTACCTGTCACTTAACTTACCTATCATTAACTTTAATTTATCTGTCTATCACTTACTTCACCTCTTGCTAAACTCACCTGTCAATTAAATTACCTGTAATTAACCTTATCTGTCACTTACCTCTTCTGTAATTTAATTCACCTATTCTGTTGGCCTCCTTGCCTTTAATTTACCTCACCTGTCTTTTATCTCTGCTGTAATATAAGTAACCAAATCTGTTGGTATCCTTGCCTGTCTTTTACCTCACTTGTCACTTAACTTACCTGTCATTAACTTTAATTTACCTGTCTTTAACCACTACTATCACTTACTTCACCTCTTGCTAACCTTACCTGTCACTTACTTCTGTTATTTAACTGACTTAACCTGTTGGTATATTTGCCTGTCATTTACCTCGCCTGTCTTTTATCTCTCCTGTAATATAAGTTACCAAATCTGTTGATATCCTTGCCTGTCATTTACCTTACCTGTCACTTAACTTACCTGTTACTAACTTCACCTGTTTCTTAATTTACCTGTAATTTACCTCTATTGTCACTTATCTCTCCTGTAATTTAATTTACCTAATCCGTTGGTATCCTTGCCTGTCATTTACCTTACCTGTCACTTAACTTCCCTGTTACTAACTTCACCTGTTTCTTAATTTACCTGTAATTTACGTCTATTGTCACTTATCTCTCCTGTACTTTAATTTACCTAATCTGTTGGTATCCTTGCCTGAAATTTACCTCACCTGTCACTTATCTCTCCTGTAATTTAATTTACCTAATCTGTTGGTATCCTTGCCTGTAATTTACCTCACCTGTCACTTATCTCTCCTGTAATTTAATTTACCTAATCTGTTGGTATCCTTGCCTGTCATTTACCTCACCTGTCAGTGACCATGGCCCACTTGTATAAAACATCTCAAAGTTAAGGAAAATCTCGAGCAATGTATTGTCTATGGGAAATCTTAGACTTGAGGAAATCTCAAGAGTTGAGATCTTTTATACAAGTGGGCCCAGAACTCTCACCTATACATTATAACACACCTGTCATTTTTACTTACTTCCCCTGTTATTTATGTCAAATGTCAGTTACCTCACCTGTGAGCGCTGATGCAAATCTTATCTCACCTAACAAAAATATGTAGTTTATCACATGTGACGTACATTATAAGTCTATCTCAAGCGTGGCTCAATAATAATTTCGAAATTCCGTGTGATAGAAACTTAGTCCCAAGTTTAGCTTGAGGGGATTTCAGAGGGTTGGTGATATTGCTTTGAGGTAGGACCATGGTCTAATTTTCAAAAGGGTGTGCAATTAACACTGGGATTTCTTTATGTCTGGGGAATCTACGAGGCAGGTGCTATTTTACAAGTGGGCCCAGAATTCTCACCTATACATTATAACACACCTGTCATTTTTACTTACCGCCCCTGTTATTTATGTCAAATGTCAGTTACCTCACCTGTGAGTGCTGATGCAAATCTTCTCTCACCTAACAAAAATATGTAGTTTATCACATGTGACGTACATTATAAGTCTATCTCAAGCGTGGCTCAATAATAATTTCGAAATTCCGTGTGATAGAAACTTAGTCCCAAGTTTAGCTTGAGGGGATCTCAGAGTGTTTGTGATATTGCATTGAGGTAGGACCATGGTCTAATTTTCAAAAGGGTGTGCAATTAACACTGGGATTTCTTTATGTCTGTGAAATCTACGAGGCAGGTGCTATTTTACCAACCACTTTTTTGTCGTTTGCACATTGTGCACACACTGAACACCATGTAATGTTTTAGAATCACACAACTGTATTTGACACATCTCTCATTTACCTGTTCAGAACAAAACATTGTGTCTTTTGAAGTCAGTTAATGATACACTACGTTATGCAGACAGTAAATGAAAAATGTTGTTTTCCAGGGGAATATTGTTGAGAGGGACCCTATGTATCAGACAGATATCCTGAAAAACAGCAACGTTATGACATTAGATAACATTCCGATACGACCACTTCCACGACATCCTGTTCCCAGTGTAAGTATAACCTACGCTGCGTAAAACTCTGATACGACCACTTCCAAGAATACCTGTTCCCAGTGTAAGTATAACCTACACTATGTAAAACTCTGATACGACCACTTCCACGAATGCCTGTTCCCAGTGTAAGTATAACCTACGCTATGTAAAACTCTGATACGCCCACTTCCACGACAACCTGTTCCCAGTGTAAGTATAACCTACGCTATATAAAACTCTGATACGACCACTTCCACGACAACCTGTTCCCAGTGTAAGTATAACCTACGCTATATAAAACTCTGATACGACCTCTTCCACGACAACCTGTTCCCAGTGTAAGTCTAACCTACACTTCGTAAAATTCTGATACGACCACTTCCACGACAACCTGTTCCCAGTGTAAGTATAACCTACGCTATATAAAACTCTGATACGACCACTTCCACGACAACCTGTTTCCAGTGTAAGTATAACCTACGCTATGTAAAACTCTGACACGACCACTTCCACGAATACCTGTTCCCAGTGTAAGTATAACCTACACTATGTAAAACTCTGATATGACCACTTCCACGAATACCTGTTCCCAGTGTAAGTATAACCTACACTATGTAAAACTCTGATACGACCACTTCCACGACAACCTGTTCCCAGTGTAAGTCTAACCTACACTTCGTAAAACTCTGATACGACCACTTCCACGAATACCTGTTCCCAGTGTAAGTATAACCTACACTATGTAAAACTATGACCACTTCCATGTAAACCAGTGCCTAGAGTTGTATGGGTATAATCAAATATACAACATACACTACATGACCTGCCTGTCTAGCCTCCCATGATGTCACGTTTCAATATGACTCCAGAGTGTCATACATGTGATGTTGATCATAACTGTTATGGTTAATATGACTCCAGTAATGACATTTTGTATAATTTGTATGCCTCCACCTTAAAATGTGTGTGTGTGGTGTATAGTGTTGCTCATGTCCATCCTTTCTTGTCCTGTTGCGTCACGATTCAATGTAAACACTTGTCCTGTCGCGTCACGATTCAAATATAAACATCCGTCCTGTCACATAACGATTCAAATGTAAACACCCGTCCTGTCGCCTCACGATTCAATGTAAACACTCGTCGCGTCGCATCACGATTCAAATGTAAACGATCTAGCAACTTCATTCTTTGACGTATTTTCATCAAACTTTATGCAAATGTCAAAAGCATGCAAATACATCAGATGTGTTCATGTTTAAGGATGCCAAGGTCAAGGCCAACGTTCCAATTGCTATTCATCAAAAAAACAATGTGTGTGATGTGTTGAAAATCAATGTGTATTTGACCTTTAAGATGGATAGGTACAAGAAGTCACTAGGATAAGATACAGCCTAGAATATGCATTTTCATGAAGTGGTGAAATTTTGATATGCATGTTATAAATTGTAGTATGACTCCAGTGATGTGAAACACAAAAAGAACATTGATTCACTGAAGCAGGCTGCCCAACAGGCATTTGAGGAGAGGATGAGGGAGTCGAAACACAACATGGAGGAAAATGTTCGATTCCTCCAGAAGAGGATTTTGTAAGTTGATAATAGATGTTCCCACAAGATAATCACATGCTCTAAAATACAGATTTTATGATAAACAGTACATTCTCTAGATCATTGTAGACAATTTTAAACACTCACAAAGCAGTAATAGACTTTCACAAGGTAGTCATAGACTCTCACAAGGCAATTATTGACTCTCACAGGGCAGTCCAAGACTCTCACAGGGCAGTCTTAGACTCTCACTGGGCAGTCGTAGACTCTCACAAGGTAGTCATAAACTCTCACAAGGCAGTTGAAGACTGACAAGGGAATCATAGACTCTCACAAGGCAATTATAGACTCTCACATGCCAGTCTTAGGCTCTCACAAGGCAATCCAAGACTCTCACAAGGTAGTCATAAACTTTCACAAGGCTGTTGTAGACTCTGACAAGGGAATCATAGACTCTCACAAGGCAGTACTAGACTCTCACAAGGCAATTATAGACTCTCACATGCCAGTCTTAGGCTCTCACAAGGCAATCCAAGACTCTCACAAGGCAATCCAAGACTCTCACAAGACAATCATAGACTCTCACAAGACAATCCAAGACTCTCACAAGGCAATCCAAGACTCTCACAAGGCAATCATAGACTCTCACAAGGTGTAAAATAGGAGGAGAAGAATGCACAGCCAGACCAGGTTCAAACCCCTTGAGTCTGGCTGTCCATTTTCTGCTCCTATTACATTTGGTGCCTGTGACCAACCTTTGTTTCAAGCATTTGGTGTATTATTGGCAAGGAGATATATGAACCTGGGTTGTAAATATTTGTGTCTTCAGGGCCGAAGACTTAGAAAAGGAGGGAGGAATGTAGTGAAACTGAACTGGGTCGGACGGCGACTAGGCAGCTTTATGGGTAGAGCTTCCGTCTAGAGTTTGGCAGGTCCTGGGTTCAAACCCCTGTCTAGCTATGCATTTTTCCTCTCCTGTTACACAGGGCAATCATTGACCCTTGAAAGGCAAGTACGGGGTACAGTCCTTCACAAGGGAATCACAGACTACCTCATGACAATTATAGATCTTCACAGGGCAACTATATATCTACTCAGGGCAAATGTTTATAGCCCCACAAGGCGATCATAGACTCTCAGAAGAGAATAATGACCTCCACAAGACAGTCCTGGTCTCACACAACAACTACATTTGTATGGGTTGTTTAGGGTTTGATTGAGTAGAATTTTTGGCCATAGTTTTTTTTTTATTTAAAACTCTTGATATGATATTCTTTCTTATTTCTTTCACTGCAATATTGACCTTCCAGGGACCTTCAGGATGAGTATACCGCATATGATGGTAAACTTCGCAATGACTTGGATGCATGCTTAAGGTGAGTTTTCACTGATAACTTAATATATTAATTATATTTCTGTTAAGGGAGATTTGAAACTATAATGAACTTTTAATCTTTGTGATATAAATTGTGTATAGATTCTGAGAGAATTATTGGCATTTTGCTACTCATGGTAATAACTTGTGTTTTGACAGGTACCTGGACTCCCTAAGTATCCCCGATCTCAGTGACATGGATAAGGCCAAATTAAGGAATGAAATAGCTTCACCGCTTGATGGTAAATTCTGGCATGTAAGTCAAGCTTTTGATAGGTTCATCATTCACAGATTACATACTAAATTCCTGATTTAGATTTTGGGGACATTCATGCTATTTTGCTGTTGTCAGAATTATGTATAGTATGTACAAATGAACAATTTTTAGTTGGTTTTACCTTTGGACATTTTTATGTTTTACTACTAGTTTTTAGGTCACCTGAGCTTTGCTCAAGTGACCTATTCTAATCGCTTTACATGTTAGTTGGTAAACATCTGTATGAGTTCTGACTGTTGGTATACATCTGTCTGTTTTCTGACGTATATGTTAGCTGGTATACATCAGTCTGAGTTCTGACTGTTGGTATACATCCGTCTGAATTCTGACTGTTGGTATACATCTGTCTGAATTTTGACTATTGGTATACAGCTGTCTTAGTTCTGACTGTTGGTGTACATCAGTCTGAGTTCTGACTGTGGGTATACATCTGTCTGTTTTCTGACATATATGTTAGCTGGTATACATCTGTCTGAATTCTGACTATTGGTATACATCTGTCTGAATTATGACTATTGTCTGTCTTCTTCAATCTTTATTACTATTGGTATACAGCTGTCTGAGTTCTGACTGTTGGTGTACATCAGTCTGAGTTCTGACTGTGGGTATACATCTGTCTGTTTTCTGACATATATGTTAGCTGGTATACATCTGTCTGAATTCTGACTATTGGTATACATCCGTCTGAATTATGACTATTGGTATACATCTGTCTGAATTATGACTATTGGTATACATCTGTCTGCATTCTGACTGTTGGTATACATCTGTCTGCATTCTGAC